GAAAATACTGTAAATAAAATAATGTGATCAAATAATATGAATATTTTTGGCAAAAATATTCAACTTCATCATATCTTTTCATTTTTCATTATTAAAAACAAACATCATGAGCAATATAATAGTTTACACAAAAACTAGAGGTTAAAAAGAAACAATTAAGAATGAAAATACACTAAATAAAATAATGTGTTCAAACAATATGAATATTTCTGGCAAAAATATCCAAATTGCTCATATCTTTTCATTTTCAATTATTAAAAACAAAAATCATGAGCAATACAATAGTTTACACAGAAACTAGACCAAAAAGATGTTAAAAGGCCAAAAAAAAAACCTAAAACTAAGTTGAAATCTCATTTCTACCCTTTTTTATGGACAGGCGGTTTAATTATAGGTGCAAATGTGTCTATGATAGTAAATTTGTTTTTGATGAATTTTTTTTAACATTTAAAAATAGTGTAATGTTGTCCTTAATATTAATAAAAGTTAACATTAATTATTAATTAAAAAAATTACAAAAAAAAGAATTCAAAAATTACAAGAACCTAAAAATTACAAATAAAAATCATAAAAAATTAATATTGATTAATTTGTTTGAAGTATAAATGAATACTAAAAGACAAATGCTCTTTCCTTCATATGTAAGAGACTGATTTTAACTTTGATCAAGCATTTTAATAGATTATCAAATAATTATCAGGTCATCATTATTAACACCAACACTGATAAGTAATTAAAAAATTAAATTCTTTTAATATACATTAAAAATTAACTTAATTAGCATGGACAAATACAAGGGGGCATATAGGGGGTAGAGTTAGGATTTAGGAATAACAGGTAGGCCTGAAGGGTTGGGCTTGGAAAATCTATTTAACTAAAGATTTAGGCCTTGAAATTTTTTTTTAAGTAATTAGGCTTGAGGGCCTAGCCCTAATAAGCTCTATAGAAAAAAAAACTTGGGCTTGGGTGACCTTTTAAACCCTATTATCTTATTATCAATTTTTTTTAAAATTTTTGTGGAACTTTGCATTTAAAGAAGGAACCTTACTGAACTCTAAACTTACTCAAGTTTTTAAATATTGAAGAACTCAAATTAAGCAAATATCTCTTGTTTCTCCTTGCTCATCTCTCCCTCACGCCTTAAGTTAGTCAACCATTAAACTTCATACCTCTCATCCCTCATCTTTGTCTCACGGCTCACGCCCTAAGGATCTTATATATATATATATATATATATTTGATTGATAATGACACAGTTTGATTAATATTTCTTGCAGGTGATGAAAAAGAAGTTGTAAAGATAATTGACATTGAACCTCTACCTTCATCTTCAACAAGTAAACTTACATTTGAAAGATCTAATATTATATTTTTAGATGATGATGAGGAGGATTTAAATTTATATTGACAAAGATTTTAATCTTCATATTAAATTTAGACTTTTAAATCTTTGTTGAATTTCATGTAAGAATTTGATTTGTTTTATGTTAAATGTTAGAATATTTTATTTAAATTAAAATGTTGATTTTTTTTAGAAAGTAGGCTTACAAGTCAGGCCCTAAATTCTTTGAATAAGAGTTGAGCTACAAAATTATGTCAAATTTTAAATAATCGGACTTTAGAACTTAAGCCCATAAGAGCTAAGCCTATAAGGGCTAAGTTGGCCTAAATTCTCTTCTCTAGAGGTAATTCCACAACTTTACCCCCCATGTTACAAACTTCCTTAAAAAGTACACTAGTTTTTCTTCATAAAATATGTCAAAATTATTTTTGGCCCCCACTTTCTTGTAATGATTTTTTTTGGCTACTCATATGTCAATTTCTAAATTCATCCCTATGATAACTAGTGCATTTGAGATTTATAAATATTATAATTATTACAAAAAATATAATAATTGGTCCCTGTAATTTTATCATGTTTTTCTTTTAGTCCTTATAAATTTTTTAGTGTTTTTAGTTTGTATAAATTCAGTAGTATTATGTGACATTTATTCCTTAGATTCTTAAAGATGTTAAATTACAATGACTATGAAGATTTAGAATACTAAAAACAAATTACATGGGCTAAAAACAAAACCCGATAAAATTGTAAGGATTATTAATTAAGTTTTACCTAATTATTATTTATAAATATTCTTAAAAAATTTATAAATCACTTGTTAAAAATTGGTTGCATATGAAATTTATAGATGAAAGTTGTTTAACAACTTAATTGTTATTATTTATAAAAAAATTGCATTCACCTTTAAATCACACACACAATGTGTGTATATATATATATATATCAGTTTAGTTATGAATTTTAGAGAAGCTGTAAATCTCAAAAATTAAATTTTGTGGGAAAATTTATAAATAATAATAATATTTAAATTATTTATATATTAAATTATTAATATTTTAATAAAATATTATTAAAATAAATCTAATTTTTTTTGTTAAAATAGTAGCCGATTAAAATAACTAGTTTAAATACTTTGTCAAAAAAAAAATTAGTTAAAATAATATTTTGATTTTTTACATAAGAAATAAAGAGAAATTGCAAATTTTAATCACTTTTATTTGTCTCAATTATTGATTTGACTATGTAAGTTTAATTTTTATCAACCCTTTTTTTTCAATAATTTTCATTAACTTAGTTCCTTAAATTTATTTTTATAATCAATTTGCTCTTTATTGTTTAAAAAAGAAGTTACACTATTAAAATTTATTGACTTTGATAACAAAATATTGATGACAGCTGTGCAAGTTAATGAAAAGGAGTATAATTATTTAGTTAGGAAAAAACAAACTCTAAAATTTTGGAAAACAAGAAAATAGACTATACTGTAAGAAATTATATTAACAAAAATTAAATTCATTTGAGAGTTAATTTATTTTTATTTAACTATCCATGCATATCAAAATATCAACATACTTTATGTATTAAATTATTTTAATCCCTTGTTTGGATACATATGAATTTAGGTTTGGATTTAAGCTAAATTTATTGTTTGGAAAATTAAACATGTATGATTCAAATCCAAATCTAAGTTCTATCTTAATCTCTTTGTAATTTAAAATTATTTTTAAAGCCCTATTATTTTAAATTCTAACTCAATTTCTATTGTAATTCGATCCAAATCCACAAATGCTTGATTAACTTGCTAATGGTAATTGGATTGGACCGCCAAAGTTAATGGAAGCAAGCTCCCACCATTGATCGGGATTAGATGGGCGACTTCCAACGGGTCGATCCAAAGGCAACCATCGAGACAAGACGGCCAACTTCTATCGGGACTTAATAGATGGCCACCACCAAGGTCGAACGGCTAATTTTCACCGGGACCAGACTGACAACGATAATGGAGACCAGACGGTTGACCTCCACAGGGACTAGACTGATAGCGATGATTGGGATCGGACTGACGACTATGAATAGGACCAGGCAGCTGACTTTCGATAGGACTGGATCTATGGCTACCACCGAAATTGAACAGCTGACTTCCATTGAGATAGAACTGACAGCGGACAACGAGACCAAAAGGCTGACTTTCGTTAAGATTGAATAGATGGTGAACACCGAGATTGGAAGATCGACTTCCACAAAGATCGGACTGATGGCGATGATGAGGATCCAACAGCTAACTTTCACTAGGTTCGATCTCGATGGAAGTTGGCTGTCTAGTTCTCATTGTTGCCATCTGTCCTGTCTTGGTGAAAGTCGGCCGTCTTGTCCTCGTCATCACTGTTGGGGAGATCTTGGTGAAAGTCTTCCATTTAGTCCCTGTTGTTGCCATCGGTCTTGGTTGTCACTATCTATTCGATCCTAATAATTGCTATCGATCAAGTCCCTAACGTTGCCATCCATCCGATCCCAATGGAAGTCGACTATTCGACCCTAGTGGTCACTGTCTGTTCAGTCCCTATTGTCACAGTTGTTTTGATCTCGGTGGTTGTCATTAATTCGGTCCAAGTGGAAGTCGACGTCTTGTCCTGGCGATTGTCGTCAGTTTAGTCCTGGTGGAAGTCGGTTGTCCCTTCTCGGTGGTCTCTGTCTGTTTGGTCTTAGTAGAAATTGACCGCCCCATCCCCATCGTCACTAGTGCTATTGTCCTAATCAGCTTTGACTTTCTGATCTCGTCGGAAGTCGGTTATCTCATCCCCGTCGTCATCGGTGCTATAATTCTAGTTAGCTTTGACAGTCTAATCCTGGTGAAAGTTAGTAATTTGGACCGTTGATTTTAGCCAACCTTTCAAATTTCTTTTAAATTTAAATAAAAATTTAAAATTTAAAATTTTACTTTAAATCCAAACAGAAAATTTTAATATTATAATTTAAATTTTTTATATTATCCAAACAAAAAAATTAAAATATATGAATTTTAAATGTGAGATTTTAAATTTAAATTTTTAAATTAAATCTATCCATCCAAACATAGCCTAAGAATCAATTTGTGTTTTAAAATTAAAAGTACTTATAAGATGATTTATTTTAATTTAGGAAACTCAACAAGCTTTAACTTTTCCTGTGGGGTCGTTTTTTGTAATTGTCAACATTTTTATGCAACTTTTCGGATTTTTTTTTAAAATTTTCTGGCACTGTCAAAAGTTAACATTATGCCCTGCATATGATTGAGAAAAAGGACAATGACATTTTAGCCCTCTTAGATAAATTTATTGTAACAAAAGTCCATTAATTTTATATCAAAAAACATGGATACGTTATTATCAAAAATTGAACATTAATTTATTTTTTAAGGTTTTTTTAAAAAATTAATAAATTAAGGTTTATCTTTTCACAATTAGACGATAATAATATTCAATACAAAATAATGGAACAGGTAAAAAAAAATTACAAAATGATAGACTCTTATCATGATAAATAATTTTTGATGCGTTTAAATCTCATTTTCCCTTAAAGCCGCGTGGAAGAACGAGGGGAGGGATTGAAAATTAAAAATAAAAGAAACAGCGCAAAAGGAATTGGCGCGATTCAGCAAGCAAGTACGAAAGGTGGTGTACTTCAGAAGCACATACATCATTTGGGTATAGGGAGACGAGGGGGAGAAGATAGAGAAGAGAATGAGAGCAGGATGGCTAACCTTTCGAGCCTTGTACACGAACTAAGAGAGCGCATTGCGGCTTCCTCATCGTCGCCTAGTCTCAACAAGGCTGATGACGATGCATTGGAGCATAGGTTCCGCGCTGTCCTTCCCAATCTTCTTCATGCTTACGTCGTCCCTTGTTCATCCGGTATGCTTTCTCTCCATTCCCATCTTTTTGTATCTTCTCTATGTTTCTTCAGAACACTTTGGGCCAAAAAAAAAAAAAGAACACTTCTTTTCCCAATTGCAATTCTTTCTTACATTACCAAGCTAGTTAATGTTCTGGTTTCTCTTCTACTTCGGATTATGCATCGGAGAGCCAAAAAATTGTGTGAAGCCTTAGTTAGTGCTTGGTAAGGAAGCCAAAATTTGAAACGGTGGCGCCACTCTATCGATGAAATATAAGCTTGAACTACCGTAGTTTACTAGCGTTCGAACTGAGACACTTGGGGTATAAAGTTGATTTTCTGTTTCGCAGCAAATGAGAGAGAAGTGATTGCAGTGGTGAAGCTTATATCTCATATTGCAAGAAATTTTCCTGGAGTCTTTTACCATGGCAAGGCTAGTGCCCTGGTACCAATCATTGGCCGGATATTACCTTTCTTTGCAGAACCCGCATTTGGGTGAGTTATTTCAGGGGAATTTCAGTTTTTAATCTTGGAGCTTGTGACTTATTTTCTTTTTTACTGATTTCTATCGGCATGACTGTTTGTTATTTGAGTATTATTGCCAAAAATTATTTTATGAATATCTCCAACACACCCCTCCTTGCAATGGTGACTTCCACTTGAATTATAGAGAAATTTATACATCCACCATATCCTGAGCTGGAATTTATTTCTTACCGGGCAAATTGTTTACCGTTTGGTCACAGAAGCTTATCACCTTGTGAATAATGTTATTAATCCGACATGTATATTCTTTACTATTATTAGGGATTTGGAATGCTGTGATCTCAAATATCAGCTTCTAATAGTGAAGTCTTTACCTTTCCTCTCTCAACTAATTCCTTCAAATTTTCAGCTTTAAAATCCAGATGTTTGTTTCATTATTACAACTTTTTATGTCTGTGTACGATTGAAAGATTCGCAAAAATGCATGTGACAAAACTTAGTTTCTAGGTTTGTTCAATATATGAACTTTCATGTTTGTATGGTGTTGAAAGGTTTTATTGAGCACACGATGCCTTTATGGTGTTGTTACCCATGGAAGATTTATTCTCTTGCTTTTGATTTGGTAATATGCAAAGCAAGAATGATCTTTTTAATCCTTTTCTGTAAACTACTCCCTGTCTTTTACTTGTGCACTTGTCATTTTTTAAATAACTGCTTCTGAAGAATGATATGCAATTTCAGATCTCGTCATGGGGTAATCTTTGAAACACTTGGGTCACTTTTATCTTTGCTTCGAACTGGAGCACGAGATGCATATAGACAATTTTGTGTTGATTCCATGTTAGTCATTGAAGGTATGAATGTGATAATTATGAACTACAATATTCATTTTATCACCTTTTTCTTAAAGAACTGTTCGGTCGTTTCTTATTCGCTGCCTTCTCTACAACAAATTATGTGATTTATTCACTTGCACTCTTGTTAGTCTTGTTTTATGAGTTGGAGATTGTTTCTTTTTTGGGAGGGGAAAGGAGATGGAAGGGACTATCTACACCAATTTTATTGGTGGATCTTTCTGTGAAAAATCATGTTATTGACTTTGATTCATAACTAGCATTGACTCCCCTTTGAGCATCAACTACAAAAAATTACATCATATGAATGTTTGTAGAATTATTCATTTTTTTTCACAAAAAAGAACTCCCTCAAATGTTTCAAAATTATTCATTTTGTTAATTTTGTTTGTATGATATGAATAGATAAAACAATAAAAAGGTAAAACAACAAAATCCATTAATGAGTTCTTTTTGACCGGTGATTTGAAGTTTTATCCACTAATTATATTAAAACAAAAAATTAAAAGAACTTTTAATATTTTGCATATAGATATTTGAAATGTATGTTGTCTTCGCAGATATTATACACCTGGTCTCTCTCTGTCTTCATGATGCTAGCAATGTACAATCCACTAAGCTAAGGTTAAATTGCTTTTGTGAGTCCTTTAAGGGAATTGTCAGCGATCCTGCTATTATTGGAGATCTCCCATCAAGTAACAAGCCTGTTGATGGATGTGGTTTATTAATAGACCTGAGTGACAAAAGGAGATGGCAGCTTTTTGCAACTTGGATTTTAAAGCTTCTTAGTAAATGTCTAACAGAAGGAACACTGTATGTTGAAGGCTTGGTCAACACATCATTTGTCTTTGCTGCATGCTCTCTTTTATGCTATGGGGATGCTGCTCTACATATGGTGGGTAACTGTTAACCACAAATCTTTAAATATTCATTGGTTGGTTGATAGAACTTGGAATTCAGTATGTGAATTCATTTATTTGAATCATTAGAGTTAAAAATGATCTGATTTTGAAAATTATGGATTTTTGGAAGGCATGTTTTGACTTTGTGGGCATCATTGTAACGGTGACAACCTATCATATCATACCGTATGAGAATTTTATCCAGTCCATACTTACTATCTTGAGTGTGGACAAAGAGGGGCTTCCTGTATTCAGGTTCGACACTGTTCTCTCTATTCAATGATCTCTTTAAGACTCTGCTTTTTGGAAATAATTTTTAAGCAAACAAGACCTATTTAACAAAAAAAAAAACCATTTAGATTTGTTTATATTAACTTAGGGTTCTCCTGCAGAAATATGGCTTATGATTCATCCATGGGTGTTTGCCTCAGTTCACTCTACTCCAGTTGCTCAGAAGATGTTGTCAAATCAACAGCTGTTGATTTAGTCAACGTGTTCCTGCAATCATTGTGGAGAACAAAAAGCAAGGAACTCAAGGTTAAGATTAATACTTACATTTCCTTAGATTAGCTTAGTTTACAATAGAGGTATTCATCTTTTCTTCTGATAGCTGATAGATTGGGGCAAAATTGTGTACCAGAATCTAATAGTTCTTTTTTTCCAGGTTGCGCTATGCACAGCATATGAAAGGATTGTTAAATTTTGCCCTCCTCATACCTGGCAGTTAGAATCTCTCATATCTGCACTTTATCATCCAGAACCATTCTTGCCTTTAATAGAGTGCTTTCGAGTAGCTTTATCTAATCTTGGTCCACATCTTGTGGGAATGCAAGTTTACAATAAGACCTTAACCATGTCAATACATGAAGATAACCTCAGACTTGGAGAAAAGAGGTCCATTCAAGAGATGGGCCCATTAAAGACCAAACGGCAAAAGTTAAATGAAGATATTGTTGTTGCTGATGCCAATGTTGAGATGCAATTCAAATATCTTCATATGGTTACTTTACCAAAGAGAGAAGATTATGCTCACAATATGAATAAATCTCTTCTGTCATTTATTCAAAATTTAAATGCTCCTGCTATGACACCTTCTCCCTTGAGACCAGATATAGCATTATCAGCCCTTAGCATGCTTTGCATTGTCTTCTTTATGTATCCAGATACCCATTTGTCATTCAATATCTTCCATCAGATGCTTTCATGGCTTCCTTGGATAGTCGAGCAGGTACATTGAGGTTGCAGTTACTAATTCATGTTATCTGGTTTGTTTCCTTTTAATAATTACATTGTCTGTCAATGTAGGCAAAGCATGAGAACTCAATTAATGTTAATATCTCCAATTACCTGGAAGGAATTCATGGCATATTGCTTTCACAAAGTAAGCTTTGGGCCTATCCTTCATTAAGACTGTTGATCAAGTTGTACACTTGTGTATACTTGCACTTCATTTTAGGGGATCTTCAATTTTGCCTTTGATTTTAATTTAATTCCAACTAAACTTTAGGGCTGCTGTTATTCTCTTAATGGTAGAAATTTTATTTTTTGAACTATAGACCTGTAAGTGGTAATGTTTTACGTAGACAAGTAGTCTTATATAAGCATCACTTCTAACATTGCACATAAATATTGGACACAAAATATCATGGTTGGGAAAACACGAGGCTTGTTTTTCTATGATATGTTTGAGATGTGTTTTATTGGGAACCATCGTTCAACTCATATGTTAGTGTTAAGAGGCTTATTAAAATGATTCGCTTTCCAAGTCTTACATTGTATATATGGGTTTCTTTTAAGCATTCTTTAATTTCTTCCTTCTGCATTGTCTTGTGTGATAGTTGAGTGGTTGGTTCTTCTAGGGCAGCAGACTGATGGTGGACAACCAAGCATGTTATATTTTGTTAAACATCACTTTAGTTTACTTAAACATCCATGTCATCCTTGTGAGTTGTATGATTTTTGACTATGTGACTGATGAATTAGGTTCTTTTTCTGGAGAGAACAAATTATTACAACATGACAATCATGATGCAGACCTTTTACATGTAGTGCTGAAACTTCCCTGGACTCATAGGCTTCTGGCTGTTGATCATCATTGTCCATGGAAAACAAAATGTCTATCTCTTCAGGTCGCATCTAAGCTAGGTCCAAGTGTGAACAATGAGGTTGTTCTAGAAGTTCTAGATTTGGGTCTTTCTGATGAATCTGAAGAAGTTAGAATTGAAGCTGTCATTTCTATGCCAGTAATGGTTTTGTGGTTTGGTCATGATTTATTACCTCCAGTCGTTCAAAGGATGGAGTAAGTAAATGGTTGAAGTTGAATTTACCCTTTTGGCCTACATGATTACAGTATATCTGATCAAAATTGTCATTTGTTAGTTGATTCAAAGTTATGATTGGACATTGAGTTTCTCCTGTGTTAATTTTAATGACAACTATAGATGAGTTGTTTGCACATGAACCATTTTCTTTCCTGTGATGATATGATTAAAGTATTATCTGTCAATTCTACATACCTTCATTGTTTTTCTGTAAACTAATCCCACATGTCAAAATGTTCATGTAAGCAATCGTTCAGATTTAATGATGTCATATCATTCTTTGGATTAGAGGTCAAGAAATGTTGGTAGATATGGAACTTTCTTTTTCATATTGTCGTCCAGTCTGAATGAATATGACGCATTCGGGTGCCAAAGTTTGGACCTTAGTCCTTGGAATGATCTGTTCCAATGGATCCATCTTTTTATCAAGACGTTTATTTGGTTTTCTTTAGTCATCAGCACTTAATTTCCTGATTCTTGTTTGTGATATAGTTCCTATGCAGCTTCCTGTTTCTGGTTAAACTATTAATTTTTATTTAGTTCACAGTGGATATTCTTTTATCTTAAAAGAAGTATATCTACTCAAGGCAACTGTCTTTCATCTTTTAAGAAAATTACTCTGTGCTCAAGCACTTTGTATGCTGGTTACAAATGAATTAGAAAGGAAAACACCTGGCAAATGGGAAATCATTCTCCTGCATTGGAAAGGCAACCCTCTCCCTATCACTCTTTTCTTCATCCCACCACCCCTTGCTCCTCCTTCTTAATCCCTCAGAAGTTCTCTACTTGTCTTTTTCTTCCAATTCACCCCGCTACCTTTCATCAGGTTGTTGGTGGTCATTTTCTGATACCACAGTGCTGGGACCATTTCCTAGTTTTTTTCTGGAACCACAGTGCCTGAAACCACTTCATTTTTGGTTCCCTTCTTTGCCTTTTCCTTTTCTGTTGTAGGTCTTAGCCAAAGTTCCATTGTGATTGGCTCCATCGGTCCTCTTCTCCCTCCACCCCCCCTTCCAAAAAAAAAAAAAAATTGCGTTTTAGGTCTTAGCCAAAGCTACTTGCAATATTGTTTTAAGTTATTTTTTTGTTAGGTTAAGACAGATGAAGTCTTCATCATTAGTCTCATGTTTCTTTGGGAAAGTTAGATCTGCTAGGTCAATATGTCATGTGTTGGGTGTGGTAAAAAATTTCACTCTCATGTGTAGTTTGAATCCTGGTATTTAAGATACTTGTGCTATGGTTGTTGAATTATTTGACCGTAATTAGCATCAAATCAGGTGTCAAAAGCAACTTTAATTTAATTTTCATCAAAATCTAATGGTTCTTCACTTTTTCAATATCAAATCTGCAGGTCTTTAAAGAGAGATAATGCAAAAGTTAAAAAGTTTGTTGCTAGATCCCTTGGACTTTTGTCATGCCTTTACGGATGTAGTAGATCTGTATCTGGTTACAAAAATGAATGCAAATTATATCCAAATGCGAAAAGTGAAAAAACATGCTGGACGGTAGATTGTTTACTGCAAGGTTTCAGGTGTTCAAAATGCGATAGAAAATTAATTTCCAATCATGATGAAAATCATCCAACTATCATTTTTCGGTCGGATATCCATGGAGATGTCAATTTTGATTGTAATTTCATTCAACTACAGTCATTATTTTTTGAACTTCTTTATGATGGGTCCTCAGAAGATATCCAAGTTTCCTGTTTGGCAGTTATTAATCGAATTCTTGCACATGGAGCTACTGATGTTTTGCTGAGAACAAGGTCAGAGTGGATAAAATGTTTGGATTTTTTACTGATTAACAAGAGCAAGGACTTGAGAGAAGCATTTTGCTGTCAAATCAGTTCCTTTGTAGAGGATCATATTTTAAGTTTAATTTTTTCAGAAGACACTGAAAAAAGTAAGGAAAAAAGATTCTTGGATATAATTAAACATGCTGTGGCAGCAGCTGAAAGTCCCCTAATATTAGAGACTCTTATGGAATGTACCTCAGAGATAATGGTTGCTGTTGGTATAAGTAGCCCACTTTTCTTGCATTCCCTTATACTATTGGTTGATCAGCTTGACAATTCACGTGTGACTATAAGAATGAATGCCTCAAGGTTAATACATAAATCCTGTTATCAGCATCTTAAAGGAGGGCTTGAAATAATTCTTTCCAAAGATGTTCAAATTCGAACCCGACTCTTTAATTATCTATCTGAGAGACTTGCCAGCCGTCCACTCTTAGTGAGGGAGTTTGCTGAAACTGTTTTTGGTGTTGAAACTGAAGAGTTTGTCAAGAAAATGATTCCTTTTGTTCTCCCTCAGCTTGTGGTATCTCAGCAGGATAATGGTCAAGCAGTTCTCACCTTATATGAGTTGGCCAAGTGCTTGAATACTGATATGGTGCCTCTAATAGTCAACTGGTTGCCAAAAGTCCTTGCTTTTGCTCTTCATCAAGAAGATGACCAGCAGTTACTTGCTGCCGTGCAGTTTTACCATGCACAGACAGGTTCTGACAAGCAGGAAATATTTGCAGCTGCATTACCTGCACTTTTAGATGAACTTGTATGCTTTGTTGATGTTGATGATGCCGATGAGATAAGCAGAAGGTAATTTGAGTCAATTTATGAGTCTGATGTTAATTTTTGGCTAAAATATACAGAGCTTCCTTGAACTTTGAGCAATGTGTGAAGAACCCCTTGACCTTTCATACTTGGCAAGGGATCCCGCTAACCCCTATTGATCTTATATCTCCTTAAACTTTTTTTTTTTTTGGGTGAAGGTGACCCTTCGAATTTTGAGTTGTGTAAATGATTACCCTAAAGTCATGTAGAAAATCCTCATGTCAGGATATATCTTTTTAGTGAAATACTGGACAAATTAATGGATGAGGGTTATTTGCATGAAAGTGAAAGTTTAGGGGCGTTCATTGTAAAATTTTGAAGGTCATGAAGGTTATTTGCACATTACCTGAAGTTTAGGGGGATTACTTACAGTTCTGCCTTAATTCTCTTTGTTATTAGGTATAATTTGTTAATATCATTGTGGGCTACTTCTGAACCGTTGATTTTTGCTATAAAATTTTCATGAGCATCGTTTTATACGAGTTTAAGTGTAGTTGTTTATTTTTTGGATCATGAGTAATTACTATCTATTAGGAATAGTTAGACACCAAGAGGGAGGGGTAGAACGAATTAGGTGCTTAAAAAAAAAAAGAAACTAAATTGCATATTTTCAAAGAGTTTGGAAAGATAATGCTGTGCCAAAAATAAAAGGGACCTTTGAAAATTGTGATGCAAATGGGAATTCAAAAATGATGATCATGAAGAAAAAGAAGCAGCACAAATGAATGAGTAACAACAGTAGAGGGAAGCGAGATGATGAGAGAGAAGAGTAAGGAATATCATACCGCAAAAAGTTTATCCTGGTTTAGCTTATAGCACAGGTTTAAGCATTTGCTAGGAGTAATCTTCAAATTTTCCACTAAGAAAGCAATATTCCAGGAAGCACGTAGAAACTCCTTAGACTAAATGACTCTAATGAGTCTCACAACTGACGGTCTCTCCCCTCATGATATGTTTTCACTTAACAACCACTCAGGGAATCCTTATCTTATAGATTTTAGATTCTTCCCAAAGAAATAGAAAATGTCAACAAATGCTCTCTCAAAAGAGGTTTAAATGGAAACAAAGTTATAAGTAAAATAGGATGGTTTACAGCTCCTAGAATGATTTCATAAGATTAAAGCAAGTTTTCTCCATTTGAATTATTTCATTAGATTATGGCAAGTTTTCTCCATTTTTCTTAGATCATAAGGCCTCCTATTTATATCACAAATCCCAAGTGAGCTGTTTGAGACAGGAGGAAAATTAACTTATCCAAAGAGTTTATTGTAAAGCTGCAGGCACTTTTCTGCACTGCACTGGTTAACTTGTCCTGAACCGACCCTTAGAAATTCTGGAGTTTTAAGGAAGAGGGAAAGAGAGACACTGATGGGTGACTAATCACTTGTGAAATGATAGTCATTTCCAACAGTATGCTAGTCAGGTGCTACTCAGGTACCAGTTGACAGGTTCTGCTCAAAATGCATTTTGTGCATCTATGAGTACGGCCAGGTGCTTTGCACTTAGGATGAGACAAATGGGACCCTCGAGAAATCCCAAAATGTGTTTTTTTTTTTGGTTGAATTTTTTAGAATCAAATGACTTGGAAGAACATGTCCCAAGAGCTCCAACTACCTGAACGTTAACAATAAATCCCAAGTCGAAAGAGGCTATTTTGATATTCTATTTTGCAGCATTCTAGCCTTGACTTAGTGAATTCTTGAATGCACTTGCCCAAATTGTTTTGTCACCATAAAAATTCCAATCCATTGTCAATGAGGTCAACACTATCCTGCTGTAAAGTTTGTGGTAAACATGAATTTGTATGATATTTAACTGTATTTAGTGTTATATTAATGTTTTTTTCTCTCTCACTGACTTGTCATTTAATAATAGAAACTTTGTAAATTTGTCGTGGCTATGGCCAGCAATCATGAAGTTCTGCATATGCAATTCTTGTATGCTAGACTTTTTTTTTAAAAAATGACAGTTTAGCAGAGTACATAACTATTCTAAGAAACTAAATAATGTTAATTTTAGACTGCATGATATTCTTGTATTTAATTTACAGGTTAGCAAGAGTGCCTCAACTAATCAAAGACATTGCTAAAGTTCTTACGGGTGGGGAAGATCTTCCAGGATTTTTGAGGAATCACTTTGTTGGCCTTCTTAATAGTATAGATAGAAAAATGCTCCATGCTGATGATTTTGTTCTTCAGAGGCAAGCCTTGACACGTATTGAGATGCTGATTAAAATGATGGGTTCTCATCTTAATACTTATGTGCCTAAACTGATGGTTCTCCTTATGCATGCCATAGACAAAGAATCACTTCAAGGGGAGGGTCTATCTGTCTTGCATTTTTTTGTTGAACAGTTGGCCAAAGTTTTGCCATCTAGCATTAAGCATATAATTTCTCAGATTCTGGCTTCGCTTCTTCCTTTCTTGGAAAGAGACAAAGAAAATCCTTCAATCCATTTTGACAAAGTGGTAAAAATTCTAGAGGAACTTGTTTTGAAGAACAGTGTCATTCTGAAGCAGCATATACATGAGATCCCTCCATTGCCTAGCATTCCTGCTCTGACAGAAGTGAATAGAGCAATTGAAGAAGCTCGTGGATCAATGACCTTGAAGGATCAATTGCGAGATGTAGTTGATGGTTTAAATCATGAGAACTTGAATGTGAGGTATATGGTAGTTAGTGAACTGCGTAAGCTTCTGAACCTGAGATGGAAAGATGTTACAACTCTCATAATTACTGAAACCAGTTCTGACTTAGATGTCTTGAGTTCTTTGATCACATCTTTACTTAGAGGGTGTGCAGAAGAATCTAGAACAGCAGTTGGGCAGAGATTAAAGTTGGTCTGTGCTGATTGTCTTGGAGCCCTTGGTGCTGTTGACCCTGCTAAAGTAAGGGGATTTTCATGTCAGCGTTTCAAAATTCAATGCTCTGATGATGACCTAATATTTGAGCTGATCCACAAACACCTAGCTCGAGCATTTAGGTCAGCACCTGATACTGTTATCCAAGACTCAGCTGCATTGGCTATACAGGAGCTTCTAAAAATAGCTGGTTGTGAGGCATCGCTTGATGTAAATGCATCAACTTTTACATCACAGGCACAAAAGGATAAAGGAACTTTGGTGGCTGTTGCATCTAGGACTGAGGGTACTGATGGTAGGAGTAGGATGAATAATAGAGGGCAGAGATTATGGGATCGATTCTCTAATTATGTGAAAGAAATAATAGCCCCATGCCTAACATCTAGATTTCAGCTTCCTAATGTGGTTGACTCAACATCTGCTGGTCCTATTTACCGCCCATCTATGTCATTTAGAAGATGGATATTTTTTTGGATAAGAAAACTAACTGTGCACGCCACTGGATCTCGTGCATACATTTTCAATGCTTGCCGAGGTATTGTGCGTCACGATATGCAAACAGCAATGTATTTACTTCCCTACCTGGTTCTTGATGCTGTCTGTCATGGTACTCAGGAGGCACGTTGTGGCATAACAGAAGAAATCCTTTCTGTTCTTGATGCAGCTGCATCAGAGAATAGTGGTGCTCCAGTTCATGGGTTCAGTGGTGGGCAAAGTGAAGTTTGTATTCAAGCTGTGTTTACTCTTCTTGATAATCTTGGGCAATGGGTGGATGATATTGAGCAAGAGCTTGCTCTTTCCCAGTCATCTCATTCATCAGCTAAGCAACAAAAATCAAAGGATCAAAGTTCAATTTCCTTGGCTGATCAGGGACAACTCCTTGTTCAGTGTAAGTATGTTTCAGAGCTTTTATCTGCCATCCCAAAGGTGACTCTTGCTAGGGCTTCCTTTAGGTGTCAGGCTTATGCGAGGTCTTTGATGTACTTTGAATCTTATGTGAGGGGAAAGTCAGGTGCTTTCAACCCTGCTGCTGAGAGGAGTAGCACCTTTGAGGATAAAGATGTTTCACATCTTATGGAAATATACAGTTGTTTGGATGAGCCGGATGGACTATCTGGCTTGGCATGTTTATGCAATTCTTTGATGTTGCAGGATCATCTATTAATAAATAAAAAATCTGGGAACTGGGCTGATGTTTTGACTTCCTGTGAGCAAGCTTTGCAAATGGAGCCTAACTCAGTTCAGAGACATTCAGATGTCCTTAACTGCTTGCTAAACATGTGCCACCTTCAAGCAATGGTCACTCATGTTGATGGTCTAATTTCTAGGATTCCTCAGTACAAGAAAGCATGGTGCATGCAAGGTTTGCAGGCAGCCTGGAGGCTTGGCAGGTGGGAATTAATGGATGAGTATCTCAGTGGAGCTGAAGAAGAAGGTTTACTTTGTAGCTGTTCTGAAAGCAATGCTTCATTTGACTTGGACGTTGCAAAGATTCTCCAGGCAATGATGAAGAAGGACCACTTCTTAGTTGCAGAGAAACTTGCTTTATCTAAGCATTCACTAATTGCTCCCTTAGCTGCTGCAGGCATGGATTCATACATGCGAGCATATCCATTTGTTGTAAAGCTTCACTTGCTACGGGAACTGGAAGACTTCCATTCTCTTTTAGGTGGTAGCTCTTTCTTAGAGAAATCTTTTCATTTGGGTGATTTAGATTTCTCTAAAATGATGGATAACTGGGAAAACCGACTTAGATTTACACAGCCATCACTTTGGGCTAGGGAGCCACTTTTGGCTTTCAGGAGACTGGTTTTTGGCGCTAGTGGTCTTGGAGCTCAAGTTGGGAATTGCTGGCTTCAGTATGCAAAACTATGTCGCATGGATGGTCATTATGAAACAGCTAACAGAGCAATTTTAGAAGCCCAGGTCTCTGGTTTACCTAATGTCACCAGGGAGAAAGCTAAACTTCTCTGGAGCATCCGTCGGTCTGATGGAGCCATTGCAGAATTGCAACAATCTTTGTTGAACATGCCCGTTGAGATTTTAGGCACTTCTGTGATATCATCCATTTCTAGTCTTTCCTCAGTACCACTTAATCCACCGCCTCTTATTTGTGATAGTCAAGCTATAAATGAGAGCAAAGACATAGCCAAGACCCTTCTTCTCTACTCAAGGTGGACTCATTACACTGGGCAGAAGCAGAAGGAAGATGTAATAAGTCTTTACACCAGGGTAAGGGAACTGCAGCCCAAGTGGGAGAAAGGGTACTTCTATATGGCTAAATATTGTGATGAAGTGCTTGCTGATGCTAGGAAACGCCAGGAAGAGAACTTTGAATTTGGTCCTCGACATGTTCCTGCAGCTTCAGTTGTTGGCTGTTCAAACACAAATGTGGAGAAGCATTGGTGGTCCTATGTGCCTGACGTGCTGTTATTCTATGCAAAAGGGCTTCACAGGGGACACAAAAATCTATTTCAGGCACTTCCAAGGTTATTAACCCTGTGGTTTGACTTTGGGAGCATGTATCAAAGAAGTGGTTCATCTAACAAGGATTTGAAGAATGTACTAGGGAAGGTTGGTGGAGAATTTCTGTCTTGTATATTTGTTCTCTTCACTGCATTGAAATTCTTCCTATGCATTCCCTTTTGCACTGATAGTACTGCCTTTATTACTTTGGTAGGTAATGAGTATTATGAGAGGCTGTTTGAAGGATTTACCAACATATCAATGGTTGACGGTGCTGCCTCAATTGGTATCAAGAATATGCCATCAGAATGAAGAAATTGTTCGACTAGTCAAACTTATCATTACCTCAGTTCTCCGCCAGTACCCACAACAGGGACTATGGATTATGGCAGCAGTTTCAAAGTCAACTATTCCTTCAAGGAAGGAAGCAGCAGCAGAAATAATACAAGCTGCACGTAAAGGTTTCAGCCCAGGAAGCAATGAGAGCAATTTGTTTGTTCAATTTGCTAGCCTGATAGACCATCTGATCAAATTGTGTTTCCATGCTGGCCAGCCAAGAGCGAGGACAATTAATATTTCAACTGAGTTTAGTGCTCTTAAGAGAATGATGCCGCTGGGAATTATCATGCCCATTCAACAATCTCTGACTGTTAATCTGCCTATATATGATGGAAACCTGAGTGACTCACTGACGTATAACATCTTTTCCCACACAGATCTTCCTACCATATCAGGCATTGCTGATGAGGCTGAGATTCTTTCTTCTCTTCAGCGACCTAAAAAAGTATGTTGACATGGTTTTTATGTTGTTTTTTTATTTATTTGATAATCCTAAATATTTAGTACTGTTAACTAATGATTGGAGTAGCAAACTTTGCATGTACTTGCCCTGAAGTCCTACTTATTCAATTGAAGCGTGAGCGTATGATCATTGAGGAAAATGCATTTCAGGATGAAATTTTTTTGAGAAAATGAAATGTTATATTGTTGTCATCATTATTATTAGTATTATTATTTGTTTTTTGTACTGGATGCACTTGGGACAGATATCTTTGCAGGTTGTATGTAGTATGTACCATCTTTGTAATAAGTGTATCTGTGTACTTACAGATAATTCTACTAGGCAGTGATGGTCTTGAACATCCATTTCTTTGCAAACCGAAAGATGATCTTCGCAAAGATGCCCGCATGATGGAGTTCACTGCAATGATCAACCGATTGCTATCCAAATATCCTGAAAGCCGTCGAAGGAAGCTTTACATTCGTACATTTGCTGTGATTCCTCTGACAGAGGATTGTGGTATGGTAGAGTGGGTGCCTCACACTCGTGGACTTCGACAAATACTTCAAGACATATACATTACTTGTGGAAAGTTTGATAGGCTGAAAACTAATCCTCAAATCAAACGAATTTATGATCAGTGCCAAGGTAAAATACCGGAAGATGAGATGTTGAAGAACAAAATTCTGCCAATGTTTCCTCCTGTTTTCCACAAATGGTTCTTGACCACATTTTCTGAGCCTGCAGCATGGTTCAGAGCCCGTGTTGCTTATGCTCACACTACTGCAGTTTGGTCCATGGTTGGGCACATCGTGGGACTGGGTGATCGGCATGGTGAAAATATTCTTTTTGATTCAACCAGTGGTGACTGTGTTCATGTTGATTTCAGTTGCTTATTTGACAAAGGATTGCAGTTGGAGAAGCCTGAGCTTGTGCCTTTTAGGCTAACCCAGGTTAGGGAAACATATAATTCTTAGTGTATTTAACTTGAATGTCTTTCTTCAGACTTACATTTGTTTCAAATCCAGCCTGCCACTTTTTCTATACTCCAATGAGACTAAGATATCAGTGGTTATTCAAGAGTTAGTGACAATGATCCAGTCTTTTTTATTACTTAATGACCTTTAAAAGTGATTATTTTATGCTAATTATTTCTTTTCGCTCATTCTGGAAATCGGCCACCTGGTTTTCATGGATTCCTTGATGGAACCTACAGAACATGATTGATGGCTTGGGCATCACCGGTTATGAGGGTATTTTTTTGAGGGTTTGTGAAATCACACTTTCTGTACTGAGGACACACAGGGAGACTCTTATGAGCGTGCTTGAAACTTTCATTCATGATCCTCTTGTGGAGTGGACAAAGTCTCATAAATCAAGTGGAGTGGAAGTTCAGAATCCACACGCACAGGTCTTGTATTATTTTCTTCTTTCATTATTGGAACAAGTTTGGTCTTGGTGAATTTTCTATGCTGCACTTTAATGATGGCTTAGGTTCTGTGATTTATTGCGGTCAGTTTAAATTTTCCTGAAGCCCTTGCTATCAGCAGCTCATTAGGTAGACAAAGTTGCAATTATCAGTAATGCAAAGTAAATTAAATTCTGAAAGAATTCAATTAATGTACCTTTCCCGCTTTTTGCTGTCATTTTGAGAGTAAATACTAGATACTATGTTCCTTGGTTATTATTTGGGACATGGCACTAGAGTAGTTCTGCTATAACTTATAATTGTTGTTATTACATTAAGGGTACAAGCAGTGGTCGTTGGTGCTATAAATAGAGTAGATTTGTTTTAACTTAGCTTATTACATTAATTTGATCAGCGTGCCATCAGTAATATTGAGGCAAGGTTACAAGGAGTGGTAGTCGGTGTTGGGGCTGCCCCATCATTACCTCTTGCTGTCGAAGGTCAAGCTCGCAGGCTTATTGCTGAAGCAGTGTCTCACAAGAATCTTGGAAAGATGTATATATGGTGGATGCCATGGTTTTAAGTAATCAATTGATTAGAAAAATTCAGACTGGTATGACGTCATTGCTTTCATTACCTCATGTCATTTTAATGTTAAAGTGTCATATATATGTTTTTATACGGAGAAGTTACATCTAATTTCCTTGTCTATAATGTGTCTTGCTCTTGCGTTTTATTGTCGCTGTATCCTTGTTCTGTTTTGGTTTGCATGAGTGCTCGTGCTTCATAGATGTAGCAGTAAGCTGGGATGATTATTTAGTTTGTCTCTTTTAGTTAGTAAATATATTTATATGCTTTGAATATTTTGAAAGTATATAATTAATTTTTCCCACCATATTTCTTAACATTCTCTCTTTGGCAATATGCGTGCCACCTGGTGATTCAACCTATGAAATCGTTTGGGGGTGGGTTTAGATCAAACTCAGCGAACTGAACTGTTGCAATGCTTTCTTGGTTTCATGTTGTGGAATAATTAGTTGAATGGTACATCTCTCTCTCTCTCTCTCTCGGAAAAAAAAATATTCTTGTAAGTGAACGCAGCACATCTTTGTGCATAATGTCAATGAAAAGCTTTCTTCCTATTGCAGGTTTGTTTTGCAACACGTTGGACTAGAAGGGAGGGCTGCACTGATCTGCCCTAAACTAAGATAGTCTTATAGTCCACTTGCTGAATACGTAAGAATGTGTGGTTTATATTTTCGTTCTTGCTTTGGTAACTCCACCAGTATGCAGTGAGTGAAGAGGTGCGGCTGTAACAGTATGCCGTGAGTTTTATGAGATGTGCAGGAATTGGAAGGCCGAACCAAAACCTTGAAACATAGGAATTTGACCACATCATGAAGGAGGAAGAGAGCAAGAATAAAGCTGTCGGTCAAGGATATGACCAATGCTGCTTGACGCTCTGGAGGGCATGCTTGTTTTGCCCAGAATTGAAACTGGAATGAACACGTCTTCTTGTATTCGTTTGTTTATATAGCCTCACACCTTCCTTTTTAAATGAATGCATGAAGTTTTGAATTTAACTTTGTGGTCATATAAAAATGATGTCTCTGCTTGTGTCTCCTACGTATTTTTTCTTACTGTTTTGGCTGCATGCTACCTGTTTCTTTGATATGCTATGGGGCCTCACTCTGCTACCCGAGTATTGCTTGTTGGCTGAACCGGAAGACATGTGACTTTTTTGCAGCATTTATTAACTAGGGTTAATGGGCAAAATAGATTCTGAACTCTTGCTCGAAAAGCGTCCTAAATCTTAAACTCTTAGAATGTGTAATAAACTTTAAACTTTTAAATTCGTAATAAATTACTTTTAAATTCGTAATAAATTAATTTTTATTGTTATCTTTTTCTAACACCATTATTGTTTACTGTGGACTTGAGTTAATTAACACTACAGACTCTAAACTATTACGCGAGTAACGTTCTATATCTTGAATTTTGAAATTTCAAGCAAATTACCTCATTTATATATAAAATGTTGATTATTATGTATATTAAATTAGCTTAAGTGTAATTCACCTTGGTGAATGCATCATTAGTTTTGGCAAACGACTCATAATTTTATAAAATGATGTTTTTTGTTTTTTTATAATGTTTTTCAAATGATTGGTATTTTATACGTTTATATATTCTAAAATTTTGATTTAATCTTATTTTAAATAATATTTATTTATTTAATGGTGAAAATTTAGGATTCTATTGGAAAAAAAGTTTAAATATCAAATAATTTTAATTAATCGGTTATTTTGGGTTTTAAATTTGTTGATGAAATCGTTGAATTTTGCATTCATCGTCTGTAAAATTATATGATACTTAAACCTTTTTTCAAATGGGATCTCAAGTTTTTACTATTAAATAAGTAAATATTATTTAAAATAAGACTAAATCAGAGTTATAAAATATACTGAAGCATGAGGCACCAATCGTTTAAAAAATATTAAAAAAAGGCAAAAAAATATTTCATAAAATTATGAGTTATTTGCCAAGGCCAATGCTACATTCACCTTGGCGAACCACGCTAAGGGTAATTTTAATCTACATAATAATGAACATTTTATACATAAATGGTGAGGGTAATTTGTTTAAAATTTTAAAATTCAGGATTTAGGATACTATTCACATAATAGTTTAGGGTCTATAGCACTAATTAACTAGAGCCCATGATGAACAATAATAACATTAAAAAAAAGATAACGATATAATTTAATTTGTTGTGAATTTAAAAGTTTAGAGTTTATTTTGTATATTTTAAGAGTTCAGGATTTATGATACTCTTCGAGCAAAAATTCAAAATCTATTTTGCTCATTAATCTATTAACTATTACGGTGAAGACATAGACAATAAATTAATTAATAATCATGTTTTCTCTTCATTGACAAAAGGGGCGAGCCCTTTTGCTATACTTGGTAGGAAGGAAAAGTGAGGGAGAGAGAAGCAGGAGGAAAGCAGCATTTTCCTCATGCTTGGCTACAGAGTGAAAAGTGGGAAGAAAATAATATATGAGACCTATATATTTTTATTTTTAACTTTTCTTTTTAGATATTGAGAGATTTTTTAAAAAAATTTTTTTAAATTTATCCATCAATTTTTTCATTGCCGCGTTTTACTTTTCTTTATTTTTATCATGATATTTATAGTGTAGTTATATTTTTATTATGAATTTTTGTTAAACAAGCAGTATATTTAATTTTTAAATTAATTAAACAAATGCTAACTCTAAATGTTGAAGTTAATTTTCAGTGAAATATCTTATATTTAGTTGTAGTTTCAACTTTTAAGATTATTGTGTATTTAATAAGTTAATAAATAAAATTTTAAATTGAATACAATTATTTTTGTTAGTATTGGATAAATATTTTTTAATTATGTTTTTATTCAATTAATAATATGTGGTAAAAATTATTATAAATATAATATGTTAAAATGTTAAATTTTACTATATAATAATTTTATAAATAATAAGGTTGTTATGGTTTATATAAAATTAATAACTTTTCTCTTTTACTTTTTTTTTTCCGTTCAGTCACACATGATAAAAGAAAATTACATTCCTTCCATTTTTTTATTTTTTTTATTTCTATTTTCCTCTAGGAGGCAAGCATAGCATTTGGGTTCGGATTTGATGCTATGTATATATAATTGATACTATTTGTTTTAATTATAGGATGAAGTTAACATTTTCACCATTTTAAAAGAATTGTCGTTGATATCTTTAAATTTGTTCAAACAAAATGTTTGGCTTTTTAATTTTACTTTTTGCTAAAATTAATGACCATAATAAAATGTGACTAAGAATTATAATTTAATGTAATTAATGAAAGGTAATATTAAAAAAAGTAACTATTATATCTTTGTTCTATATTTAAATTAAATAGGATTTTAAAAATATCTGAGGATTAGGACCAGAGAGAATAAGGATAATTGTAATCACCACACATTAATCATAATTTATTTTAACAACTTATTATATTTAACAATTTGTTTTGGAAGTTGGTGTGTGTGAGTGCTGAATCAAACACATGAACTAACCAATGAAACTATGAAAGCTTAACATTATATCACGAAGACATGAGACCAATCGGCATATTTTACAATTTGTTCTTTTTATACAAATTAAAAACATAATGCTTTATTTCAAAATTCAATACCCAAACGTTGCCAAAAAAAAAAAAATCAATACCCAAATGCCAGCGTTTTTCCTTCACTGTAGACGGTAGTGATACAGCGAATTTTGACGGGAATTATAAAGGATAGAAATTAATTCCTAACAAATGTGAAAAATACGAGGAAAGGACACGTAATCGGTGCAATAAAAGGGTATATAAAGCCCAGTGTTGGTCCTTCACCCTCTGCATTCTTGCTTTGCCAGCGGAAGATCCTTCCCTGCTTCCTCACCTCGTTTCAGCTTCTACCTCTCTATAACTCTTATCTCTCTATCTACACAATTATTTTGTTCACTATCAACATATCCCTTTCCTTTCCCTTTCATTCCAATAGCGAAACGGCCCTCTCTTTGTCGAAATTAAATCATTCTCAATTTCAGAAGATGAACAAGAGGCCCAAAATCAGCAACGATAAGGCCGTTGTCCATATCTGGCAGCGATAATTAGGTCAAATATCCTGCAGAAATTTCTCTCACCGCCTCAGAGCCTCGGAGGTATCAATTTTCTATGACTCTGTACTTGATTCCCTTCTTAATTTGTTCTTGTTAATTACTTCTAACTTTGGAGTCTGGACTCTGGCAGGAAGAAAGATGCGCTCTTGTGATGACAATGCAACGTTTTATTGAACGTGTCTGACTTAGATTATTTCCCCGCTGTCAAATTATTATAATGTGTTCTGCCTTTTATGTTTTTGAAACTGCTATGACTAGTCCTTTCGGGTTTGAGAGGTCATGTCTATTTTGTCAGGCCGAAGCTTTGAAAATTTCATTCTTCCCGTTCGATGTAATCTTTCCACGAAACTGTGCAATGAACTTTAATTATAAAGGTGCTATTCTTAAATGCTACATTTAAAAATAGTGCATCTTATTTCTGTTCCTGGGAATGTTAATGTAAAAGATGCATTAATTATGGAGATAAACTAAGAATATATCATAAAAAAAAGGTAAACGTGGTCATATTCGTGTTAAAGATGCTATTATTGGAAGCTGCAGTTAAAAACACGGCATCTTAAATAAGTTCCCGGGGATGTTGATATAAAAGATGTTAAAAACAGTTAACAAAAGTATAACGCCAAGAAGGAAATGTGGTATTATATTCTTAATTGAAACTCAAACTCTAATTTGGAAAATTTTCTTCCTTTGGTCACTCTTCTGATTTAGATGCACAATCAATGTTCTTGACCCTTTCTCATATGCCATGTTTGACATGCTGATGAAGAAAAGACATTTCATGCCCCTCTTGGATGATAGAAGCATTGTGACTTGTGCTGCTGATCGACAGGAACATCATGTTACATTCTGATATGGACCATACCCATTCCATTTGACTGTTTTAGCAGTTACCATTTATGTTAAATCTGTGTCATTATGATTTGTATACCTTAATTCCATAATCTGGAATGCATACTTATTTTGACTTATGGCTTCCTAACTTCTACACTTGTTTTACGTTTGAGAATTGCCATAATGAAATATGGTTTCAGGATGGATAATTATTCACTGAAACTGTTCATCTACATTTAATGGTTGAAATCAAGAGAAATACAGTGTTCTATTTGTTATAAACATGTATGAAGTTCATTTGTTTTATAGCATTCTCTCAATATTAGGTGAGACACGTCAGATTCCATAACGTGGAGAAGTTGAAATAAAGTTACTGGGCAGGCATCATGGAAAGCTCATAAGGTGGCTATTGAGCCTGGCAGCCCCATACATTTTATACCTTTGGTGAAGATGGATTAGTACAACATGTAATGTAAGTAAGATGTCTCCTTTGCTGTAACTAGTCTTTTATTCTTCAGTCTTCTTTGACAGTTTCATTAATGACTACAAATGGACAAGCCTTTGGCTATTAACTTTCTTTTGGTGGGTGGGCCAAACAAAGCATCCTATTAGGGAGAGGGTGGAGAATGGAGATTGTGCAATTTTGACAAGCCTTCTTATGCTAGAGATGAATACAGTGTTGATGTCGACTGTTTGGTCTGTGGTCCTATGTCTTGCTGTGGTTAGACATTCCCTCAGTCTCTTTAAATTGGAATTTTATTTTACACTCTTGTTGCTTAGTCAAGTGATGGTAAGTATTATTGCAGTTTGATCTGAGAACCGGGACTGCAGCAGAACTGCCAGCCAACCAATGATAGAAAGCATTGCCTGCCATTCATCCATCTCCATGCAATTGCAATTAATCCAAGGAACCCAAATCTTTTTGCAGTTGCTGAGTCTGATGAGCATGCTCAAATTTATGATATTCACAAGTATAAGTGGGATGGATCTACTAATTTTGGTCAACCCACTGACATCTTTTGCCCTCAGCACTTGCTTGGTGATGAGCGATTTGGAATAACAGGCCTGACCTTTGCTGAACGGAGCGAGCTGCTTGTGTCATATGATGAGTTCGTTTATCTTTTTACACCAGATATGGGTTTAGGTCCAAACCCTGTTCCTAGTTCTCTTCCTTCTAAAAACTTTGATGCAAATAGATTGGGAGGTGATCATGTTTCTGCATCATCACCATCTAATGTAGATGTTGATGAGACAGTTACTAAGGGGCACAGGAACTGTTAGACAGTGAAGGTAGTTAACCTTTTTGGTCCTAAATGTGAGTATGTGGTGAGTGGTTCAGATTGTTGCCGGATTTTCATATGGAGAAAGAAAGATGGTAAGCTTCTTTGTGTAATGGAAGCAATTGAGACAGTTGTCAGCTGCATTGAGTCTCATCCTCATGCAATGGTTCTTGCAAGCAGTGGAATTGATGATGAAATCAAAATATGGACTCCCAAGGCACTTGAGAAAGCTACTTCACCTAAAAATATAAACCAGGTATGAATTTAGTCTTTTTGAGTTAATTTGTGCAAGTCAAAAGATAGTGAACAAAATGATATTAAGTGGCTTCATGCCTTTCATGTGTAGGGAACTCTAGATTTTGTTTAGAACCATCACATTTAACCTTATAAAACTGCAACCACTTTTCATAAATTCTTTTCAGCCCTCCTTCCTCCTCCTGCCCCTGGAATGTGATCCCAATCTTTTGTTTCCACAAGTTTCGGAATCTAAAATCTGATGTCACCCACAGTCCACACTATAAACTGCAAGAGCTTTGCTCTGCCGTTGGCTGTGCTTACTGCTTTATGACTCAATGTAATCAACGGCTGTGACCTATTCCTAACTCTTGTGAATTTTTAGGTTACTTGATAAAACTAAGAAAAGTGTGGTAGTTGAGAGAGGAGGAATTTCTGTTACTGTGTGTTGGAGATGGCATGAAATCCTAGGAACCAGTTACATATTACTTCCGTGAGATTGTTTCTTGTGGATTTTTTTTTTTTTGGGTTCAATTTAACTGCATGGTTGAAGGAAGCCCTTTATTTTGGAGTAAGAATAATCGTCAAAGGAAAATTTTCTTCTTCTGAGCTTCCCTGGTTGAGCGGTTTATTTGGGAATTCTGGGTTAAACTGGCTAAATATAATTTTATCCTTTAATATAAAAATGGGAAAACTCTTATTTTCTAAAAATATGTAGTTCTTAAACAATAGAGTATTTTTGTTCTTCCTTTTCCTTTTTCTGAGAGAGAAAATCTGTTCCCTTTGTCTTGAAAACCTAGTTTTGACTCTAGAAAATGGAACGCACATTCAATCAGGCCATTATGTATTTTCTTGCATGTACATTATCTTTTCATTTTGTTTGTGAGATCGCTTTTGATTCTGATCTGACCTGGGCTGCTTGCTTCTGACATTGTGGGATAGCAGTAAAAGGTGGGAAGGTTTAATTCTCTATTGACGCTTTGCCATTATCTGGGATGTTGGTCAGTTTGATCCTTCCTCTATTACCTAGAAGTCTTGCGTTTAGAAGGGACTGAACGAGTTATGGGGTGTGGATGGATCGGAGAAGCAAAGGTTTTATATGTTCTTTGAACTGTTTGGGCGGCAGAAGAACAAATTTCTCTAATGTTACATTTGAATACATGAGGATTTAGATTTGGATTCATATTTTATTATAACTTCTTTGTAATTTTAAATTCGCTCTAGATCTTGTTATTTGAAATTTTAACTACTCTAACTCTTGTTTTTTGTTTTTATGTTTTCACTGTCTATTATTTTCGTTTCTCCTCTCATCTCTTATTATCATCTCTTATCAATTTAAAATTGGAGGTAAGTTTGTCACTGTCAATTTTTTGTTTTTGCTTTAAATTTTAGCTTGTCTTTCTTCTACCTTTAAATTTACACTATCCAAATAAAAAAAAAATTAAATATATGGATTTTAAATATGAAATTCAAATTAAATGCCACCTAAAGTTAATTCTGTGACCCTATTTACTATATTTGATGTGATTATGATGACGATGATGCCACATGGCAATTATAGTAGTGGTGATTGTGATTTTTATGATAATAGTGAATATGTTATGGCAATGGCAATGCTGATCATTTTGGCTTGGTGGTTAAAATGCCGATAGCTTTGTGTGTCCGACAAAATTCACAAGCTAGGCAGCGGCCGACGGATGTCCCAAATAGCTTATCAAGGCCGGCAACTGTTTTCACCTCTAGAGGATCCGCATAGACGGCATTGAACATACATAACTTGGCAGAAGATTCCATGCTGTTGATGATGAGGTTTCTGACAACGATGATGGGGGAGATATAACCGGCTAGGCAGACTTGTTCATTTCAGTAACACTATTCCTGGCTTCAAAAAAGGAAGAAAATAATAAAATCTCTTTAAATTATATAAATAATATTTTAATTTCTCAAAATATCATAATTTTTTTAAAGTCTCTAAAAACTTTTTTATTATTAAAAAATTAATATAAATGATTAAATTATCCTTAATTCAAAATTACAAATTGTTGTTAAATTTTTGCAATTTTAAGAAGAAAAATTATGAATTTTAAAATAAAATTTATTAATAACATTTGATATTTGTAACACTTAAAAAATATTAAAATTTTGATGCAAACTTACAAATTGCTGTTTAATTCTAATAATTTTAAAAATAAAAGTTACAAATCTTAACACAACTTATGAATAACAATTGATATTTGAATTAAGGATAATTTGATCACTTACATTAATTTCTTAATGACAAAGAAAATTATAACAATTCAAGATACCAAAATATATTTTATATATTTTAAAAAAATTTTATTATCATTTTCCTTTCAAAGAAAGGTGGCGATTGTATATGGCAAAGGAATTTGCAAGAAAGTGTAATTTTGCATATTTATGCATATAAAATAAATCATTCTGTGGACATGTTATTACTTTATTTAGAATTTTTGTCTTTATTTAATGAGGAAAACTTATATGTAATTTTCTATTTTTTATTATTAAATCCTTTATTTAAAACATGATACAGTATGTAATATTTACAATTCAATATTGCGTGATTGATGCCTTCTGATCAAAGCTATATATCATAAGTGGTGGATTTTGGTTCTAATATTAGCACTTGAGGCTCCAGAGGGACCCAAGAAACAAGATGATATTATATAGGAGAGCATATACAAAGAGAGTCATTGGATGCATACAAGGAAGTAACTTTAATTTCTGTTTCATGTATTTTGGCTTAATTTAATCCTAGGTGTTAAAGCTTGTAGGAGAGGTTTTTTACGGCGGTTCAATGAAAATTCACTCATACATCAGAACAGTTTGGAGGAGGCAGCTGGTTCGAGCGTAAATAAAGGAGCTTATACTCATTGATTTTGCCACTGGCAATTCGCATTAGAAGGAACAGCTTGGATCCATATGCTCTGGATAAATGCAATCATCTGCAAGGATCAACAACCAAGTAGCCAGCATGAGAAGCCATGGATCTATCATGGTTAAAACTAGGGAGTCATGTTAAGCGGTGTAAATTTCAGAAAACCCAGCTGAAGGCTCATGTTTACGGCACTGACCTGGGATACCCCAAGGCACATGATGCTGAAACCAGGAAAATAGAAGGGTGCTTCTTCCGACAGGAACAAGGCTACATAGGAATCAGACGGACAATGAATGAATCAGGTTTTCTCAGTATACTTCATCTTCCCCTGGTTTGACTCACCTACCTGTCAGTGGAGTGAACGTCAACGGAGCAATGATGTTGGCGGAGGAGCTAATTCCTGAAAAGCATCCTTGAACCATTCCCTAAACCAGACATTATTCATCAGTGGAGAAGCTGAAAAGCTATCATACGGTCAAGAAGTGTTAAATAGAATATCCAAATACCTGCTCTGCAGGTCCAACTTGTTTAGATACAATACTGCTGATCTGCATTTCATATCCAAATAGAGAGATCAGATTCAGAAAACAGAAAACTGAGTCCAACAAGTTTAACGAAACAAACGAGAGATAGCAACGTACACTCGGGCGCACCAAAGCCCCAAAGACAGTGCAGACTCCTAAGGCATATGGAACCTGCATGGTTTGCAAATGATTCCAAGAATTATCACTATCACCATAAATAGTATGGCGCCTTATCTGAAGTTTCTAGAGAAAATATAATCAATTGTCAAAGTGTTTGAAGAGAAAACTACCCATGATGCCCAGGATAAGCTGTAAACTGATGTCTGCAATCGGTGAAGCGTTAATACTCTCTTTTAATTTGTGTCATAACATGGCTTGACAAGAAGTGGTGTGAAGAACATGGGAGGCTGATACTTACAGTGATGCTTCCAATAAAGAGGCCCATTGAAAGCAGCTTTTCCTCTCCCATAACAGGTACTAATACGGGCATTAATAGCAGCTGCAGAGTTGTAGATGTCAAACTAAACAAATAATTTCCAGTTCGCATTGAAAAATTGGATCGAGAAACCAAAATTGGGGAACAGATGAAAGCATACTTGCACTAGAGTTGCCCCAACCCCATTAATTAGCATCAGATCAGCAAACTGGTTCTTGCTGAACTGAAATCGATACTTTAAGAAGTACTGCAATATGACGTGGAAAAACTCTCAACTTACAAGTAACTATGAAAAACTTTTATAAACTATTTGCTGCTTTGATGTTAAAATCGTATAGCTACTGATGTGATTATTATTATAAATTACCAGCACTGAAACCTGCAAACCACCATCTGCAAGACTGTTAAAGAAGCAAACAATGGCCGCTTTCGAGAACGAGGGGCTGCAAAAGGGAAGCTTCTCTCATCATTTTTATAAAATTCCACAGGTGGATTTCGTCCGAAAAATGATCATTATCCATATAGCGCGCGCGCACACATTATTAAAACTAACGTGCCCATGCAAGATGCATGATGGGGTTATGCTTTATGAATTAAGTACCTGGACTTGAGCAAGCCAATGAGATCCCTCAGCGATGGCGGCGTCCGGAACATTGGTGGCGATGAGTCCAAGTTCTGGCTGATGATCTCTTCAACACACGGCGCCTCTCTCTCTTTCAACATTGGCCGCCTCACACCACCACCAACAACCAGGCTCTCCTCTAGAAATATTCTCATGTACATCGCAGAACTCATGGAAAACAGTGCAGCAACCTGAAGAAAGGCAATCATTTGTATAAGGAGGTACAGGGGAGTGATCTAGTCAGAGTCAGAGAAGAAGAACATTGAGAACCCGAAATGTGAGAGCAGTGGAAAGGAATCGGGAGGCCAAGGTTCCGCAGACGAATGATGCGGAGCTGACGCCTCCAAGAATTCCAAATGCAGACGCTCGTTTAGCCTCTCCAACCTTGTCCGCCTAATCATGGAATCAAGATATATCAAAATATCATCAAGAAAGGTGGTACGTTGAGGGAGAGGAGGTGGTGGGTACCACGTAGGCAAGAGAGAGGCAGTTGACAGAAGCATCGCCCACAATGGCGGTGAGAGTCTTGACCACATAATAGGCGTAGAAGAAATCAGTGTCCCTGCTACATGCCAAGATCACTGCAACGATGATATAAACACAGGTTAAACGGAGTGAAAATGAAAATGAAATGTAGTTGACGAAGCAGAAGAAATGGTGGACCCCATCAGCAATTGAGAAGCACGCGGAATTGATAATTATAGTGATGGTGCCATGGAAATATACTCTCACCTAAGGGGAAGATGGAGAGGGCGAGCGGAAGGGTGAGCAAAGCTTTTCTGCCGTACTTGTCCGACAAGTTGCCTACTAACGGCGTCGTCATCACAGCACCTAACCCCGTTATCTGCAGTCAAGTCCCCTCCCATTATTTCCCTTTTTTTTTTTTTTGCCTGAAAACATTATTTCCTATTTTCTTCTTCATTGTCTTATCTTACATATACATACATACATACATACATACATACATATATATATATATCTATATGACTCCTCATCCCACTCTGCTTCTCTGTCTCTTCAACATTCATGTTGTGTCTCCCTCAATTAATTTCCACTCCATCTGATTCTCTCCGTCTCCGTTATTCAAGAAAAATGAACCCACTTGAAGGATCAAATCCACCCAACAAAAATTAACGCAAAAAGGACCGACTTTGATTTTTTTTTTTTTTTTCATCTTTTGAACTCGACTCAAATCATAATTGAATCAAATACTGATTAACATGTATTTATATCACTAATTGGGTTTCCAGCGGGCGGCAGCTCAAGAGCCAAACAACTTGATTAAAACAACAAATATACTTTTAAATCATCGACTTAATTATGGTCTTTCCAATGAATTAATATCTATTAAGATCCGATATTCTTTAACATGCAAGCCCAGTCAGTGATAAGAATATTTTTGCAGAAATCATCGAGGGCTGCAGAGTGGATATAATCTCACAGTTAACATGTGGAGTATATGTTGGGATTTCGAATATACTTTAGATTTGGGTATCTCAAAACAGATTTTTTTGTTAAAAACAAAGAATAAATTTTACAATATTAAAATATAATATTGTTTAATTAAATGCTACTGAAGACGTCACTCGAAACCATCGCCTCATGCATTATGATTTATATTTACATCATATATAAACATGAAAATATTGGTTTACATAGAGATGAGGGCATAGTGGGCATGAATTAAGGAGATGGAAAGAGGAATAACGGGACCAACAGATGAATCGAGTCAGATTGTGGAGGAAAAGAAGAAGATGGAGGAGGAGGAGGAGGAGGAGGAGGAGGAGGAGGAGGAGGAGGAGGAGAAAGAATACTTAACCGCCTGCTGGAAGCCGGTGAGATAAATAGCAAGAGAGCACTGATACTGGGCGGGGCAGAGCGCGGACACGGTCACGTCCGTTATTGCCGGAGCCACCATGAAACTTGCCGTCCCCCACAGAAACACAGTCACCAAAAGCTGCATCAGCTCCTTCTCCATTTCTCTCTCCCTCACCCCCAACCTTCCCCGACTCCAAGTCTCTAACGACAAGGAGTTAACAGGGAGACATGCTTTTCTACTCAAGTTATCCACGCTCTCAACTCCCATTTGGCCCCCCTTTTGTTTTTCTTTTTTCGCTTTTTCTTCTCGGCCAAAGTTCGGTTTCCTTATGCTTTTCACTTTTCAAAACACAAACGGACAGTGCCTTGTATGTGATCTTGGAGATTGTAAGATTAATTTTGTTTTATGAACGTAAAATTTTTATGGATGAAAATCTTCCTCAACCTCTTTATCTTTTCCTAAGAAATCTTGTTTAATTTTGATCAATTCCACTTCATTATTTCTTATATTCATTTTTAATTTTATGTATTTATTAAATGTTAAAAATTATTACATTTTAAGATAAAATTAATAAAATTTAAGGATTTTTTTAATTCTACTAGGTCATATTATAAATGGTTTATAAATAAAACTAGAAAAAGGATTATATTTCGCTATTATTCCGTTAGTCCCCACCATACTGCTCCATCAACTTTATGCTGAATTCACACTCACCCATGCATGAGATTTATTATTCATAATTTTGCCATTTATTATGAGTGTAACATTTGATATGTAAAGCTACACAAGCAAGTCATTTGTAATAGGATGTTCAATGATATAAGAAATTATTCTCTTATCTCTATTGTTCTCTTTTAAATAATTCTGTATCACTTGCTTTATTTTACAACAAGTAATTATATTGATTGTGCTAGTTCTTCTACTAATAATTATTTTAGTTTAGACATATCTAAAGATTTAATTGAATGAGCGCGTGCGCGCGTGTTTCTTTTTTTTTTTGAAAACACTAGCTACTTGCTAATAAATACTCCCTTTAATTTTATTTACAAAGCAAAGAGAAAAAAAAATTAATCTTATTTATAAATTATGTTATTAAATTTTTATCACAATTTTTTTTACTCTCCATTAAATGTTAGAAAGAAAAAATGTTATTGAAGTATGTATATTGAATAAAGATAAAAGTAAAAACTTATTTAATCTTTAAAACAGAATTAATAAGTTTTAAAATTTTTTTAATATTAAAAAATATATTAAAAATAACATATAAATAATATTAGTTTTCAATTGATCGTCATACTTTTATCCAACCTGCTGGTTGAGAAATAAATAGTGCAAAAATAATGGAGGTAGAAATTAATATATTTGTGGATGATCAAAGCTTCTAGATATGTGCGTCTGCAAGTATGAATCTGCGTTGAGGTTGAGAGCAGTAGTTGGAGGTAACCAGATCCGACTAGTTGGTGCGTCAGGAGGTTGACAAAGTTACCTTTACTTTATGGCCTCCACTGGAAACGTGGATGACGACACTTAACTTAGTGGTAGGGTTAATTCATGCTTTGGATTTTAATTGAAAAAAGAAAAAAAAAGAATCGCACTAAGGAACCTCAAAACACAAAAAATTACACTTTAAATCCAATAGATTCTGATAACGCATTGCAAGTTGAAGAACTCTTGTTACAATTTTTGTTGGGTGTGAGAATACAATTTTGCCCCTCTCAAGACTAAGCAAGTCCAATCTAATTTTTCTCCTCTCCTCTTCCTCTTCACAACATTGCATTACAGTTCCTCAATTCTTCCATTCCTTCCCCCATCCTTGATCCATCCATTCTTCTTATGGTGTGTCACGTCTCAAAAATAAAGAATAATTAACACGGGTTATAATTCACAATACACATACCCATAAGCCTCAAATTTAAAATGCATTCCGTTTTTAAAATAAATTTTGATTTATATTGAAATTTTAACATTCATGATAATAATCATTGTAATAAAAGATTTAATATTTTTATAAAAATTTTAATAGAATCTCCTGCATAAATAAAATCTCTCCAAAGTTTTACAATACATTGCCTCAAATAAAATATCATATCATTCAAGAGTTCAACTCCTTCCAACCAACAAATGGAATATGCATTGAAATAAGGACCCAACTATAGCATATGTGGAGCACCTAGAATTTAATTCACAAAATACAATTTCATAATTTAAATTTTTACATCAAAAAGTAGTTTAATCTACAGCTCCACCACTTTCCAATCATTGATAAACCCTTCAAGATCTGTAGGAAATTCAAAGTCAGCTAATAAAATTGAGACCAATATATTTTTTAATGAATAGCATCCTCAAAAATAAAATTTAAAAGTCTAAAATAATATACTCAAATAATTATGTAAAATAATTAAAAAGATGATAATTCAACATAGTAAATTTAAAAAATCTATAAATCTTAATCATAACCATAAAATGAGAATGAACTGAAAATTTCTTCATTCTATTATGCTTGAAGACAACAAATTATTCATATGTAAATCAAAGTAGTACACTTACTAATTGAAAACTATTGAAATTTCAAATACACACTTAATTTAAAATTTTAAAATTTTGAAGACTTAACAAAATAGGTAACAAACGAAAATACATAGTCTACAAGGGTAACAAATCAAACGCGACTTACACCATGAAGAAAAATGTGAACACAAAATACACGAGAATAAATAACCAAATGCAACATGAGTTATGAAAGAAATGTAGACACGGTTTATAAGGTAATGCTAACTACACACAGCTAGAGACATAAAACAAACATGAATACAAGACTCATGAATAACAAACATGAAAATAGAGCTCATGAAAATTAAACTAACTAGTTATTGACTATGACGTGCTAAAGGCTAACGGAACTACTGTTAGCAACCAGTATTCTATGTAAAGTCTCCTTCAAATTTAATTTGAAATATGCGAAAAAATTATTACTATAAAAATATAATTTCCATTCGCAAAATTCAACTCGCATGAAGAATTTGGAGCATTAAAAGCTTGTTAGAATAAAATTTTATAATTGATGTCCATACTTGCATTTATTAAAAAATCAAAATTATCAAAGTTGATAAAAATAATTTCATTAATCTTAAAAGTATCATTCGTAAAGAAAAACACATACATATTATAATTCAAATATCCTTCAACATTTCTTGACAATTTTTCAAAATAAAAATAATTTAATTAACAAATTAACTAATATATATCATTGTTAATAAAAATAATATACATAAAAAAAATAATAATTTTAATTAAAAATTTGTATTGATAAATTAACTAAAGTGCTATGTGTAATACCTTCGAGACCAAAATTTACTTCTTATAACTACAATTTTGTTTTCCTTCTTACAAACACCCTGATCAATTGAAACAAATGAAAGGCAAAGCTTGGAGCTCCAACACACAAATAAGCAAATTTAGAACCATATGGAGAAGAAAGTGTCACCGTGTAAAGATGGGAAAGGAGAAGAGAGACAGTCGATAGTGAAACAAGGGAGGGAAAAGTCCCATGCACCCAACATCCACACCAGAAAGATGATGCACCAGATTGTTGCTGCTGCTCGAAGAGGAAAGAGGAACCCGACGTCCGAACAGGGGAAGTTGAAGAGTTGACGGCGATGGTTGGAATTCACCCACCTGTCGACGGCGAACTGGCTAGCGGAGAAGGAAGCCTAACGATGATTGACGAAAATAGGAGAAGGAAAAAGGAGCAAGCTTGATGTCGGTGAAGAGAAGGAAAAATGGGATGCTGAACGATGCTCTGTTTTTCGCATGAGAAGGAAAAGAAACCTGAACAAAGAACAATTACAAAAATTATAAAAAAGGTCCCAAAAATTTTCTTTTATAACGTAAAAGACAAGGGAATTTCTAGTAATTTTTTCATTGTTAAAACAAAATAAAATTAATCCATTGCTCGGCAAGATTTGGACTCTGGACCTTCAGGCGAGGTAATAGCATAAGATACCATAAAATATTACTGTTCACTTGTTATAAAACTAATTTAAATAAAATATTAATTCGGAGAATTTTTTAAAAAAAATTAAAATTTTAAATTTAGAGTCACTACATGATGAGTTAACATACAAGAGTTAGCTTCCACACATACTAATCTCATTGCCTTTTTTGTCATCCCACAAATCACTCTTTTTAGATAAGCATTGATGAGCTCCTTAGCATCAATTATTTTCATTTTCTTTTGGTCCATGTTGTCATTTAAGCTTTGACATTATTAGGATGTTTCACTAGTCAGTACAAAATATCACAACTAAACCATTATATACTCCTATACAAATAAGCAAGGTTCAGAAATGTATAAATCCTAATATTCACAGGTACATGTTCAAATATTTACAAGTAAAAGTCCATATTTTGACAAACAAGGGTTCAAAGTTGATTGCTGTCAAAGTTCACAAATTTACAACTACATGTTCAGATATTTACAAGCATAGATGTGGTTATTTACAATTCAAAGTCTAGAATTTTCTATTTTAGATATTCAAAACTTAAAGATGGTAAGTTTTGATTTTTACAACTTCTATAAAAAATTTTCAGGTTTATGAACAATAAAAAATTCTTATGTAACATAAAAATATCTATTTATTAACAACACAATGTCAATTTATTTTACATGATTCGTATGGTTAAGTTGAACATTTGTAAAAGTGTATCAGGTTTATGAACAAAAGAAAGTTTGTATACAATATAACAAGTTCCACCTATTAACAACACAAGGTCCTTCTATATGGCACATCTAAACATTTACACAAGGTCCTTCTATGATTAATAAGCAAAGTTTAGAAATATATAAGTAAGAGTTATAATATTCACAAGTACTAGTTTAAATATTTACAAGTAGAAGTTCATATTTTAATAAGCAAAAGTTTAGAGCTGACTGTTGTTGAAGTTCACAAATTTATAACTACACATCCAAATATTTACAAGCATAGGTTCAGTTATTCACAATTCAAAGTTCAAATCCAGAATTTTTAAATTTAGATATTCACAACCATTAACGGCGTGTTATGTTCTAGTTTTTGTAGCTATTGTAGCAGTTCCCATAAACCCCAAAAATATAGCAATATGTATCTAAATGAAAGATGAGTAGATCCAAAATAAAACTTATCAAAAAACTTGAGTTCTAGAAGTTTGGTACTAAGGAGCTCATCGATGCTCATTTAAAAAGAGTGATCTGTGGGATGATAATAAAGGTAGCAAGATTGAGACATGCAAAAGCTAACTCTTATATGTTGACTCACTATAAGAAAGATGGATAGATTGAGAAGACGGAGGAGGGAATGGAAGAATTACAAAACTATCATACAATGTTGTAAGGTGGCAGGGAAAGACAAAGAGAAAGAGGAAAAGAGGAAGAAGATCAAATTGGGCTTGCTTAGTTTTGAGAAGAACAAAGTTGTACTTTCACACCTAACAAAACTTGCAACAAGAGTCTTTGGGCCTACAATTCATTATCAAAATACATTGAGCTCAAAGTGTAATTTTTTATGTTTTGGGGGCCTTATTGCGATTTTCCCTTGAAGAAATTGCAATGGCAGAATCACACGTGCCATTAGTTGTGAGGAGTCGGATTTGCAATCCACAAGAAATCACAAGCCCAAGAAATGAAATCCAATAAGTAGGCCGTTTAGGGCCGCCAATAAAGAAAGGAAAGCCTTGCTTGATCCAATGGTTTCTATATATGTCTGTTGAGCATTTACAGGATCCATCCATGATCGAGAAATCCCAGGCACACAAATTCGGCTTCTGACTTTTGTTTTCGGATTCGTTCGCCCTCCGCATTGCCTAGCATTTGTATTCAAATTCAATCCTTTCCCATTCCATATTCCCATTCACGATCTTTTGTACTATACAAGCATGGATTCCGTTGCACTCTTGTGCACTGTCTCCCTTGTCTTGGCCGGTCTTTATTGGTTCCTCTGCATTTTCGGCTCCGCCGAGCAGAAAGGAAAGCCTGCCGTCAACATCTCCGCCGGTTCTATCTCGGCCGCTAAGGTCCAAGACAGCTACAAGCAGTACTGGTCCTTCTTTCGCCGTCCGAAAGAAATCCAAAACGCCGACAATGTCCCTTCCTTCGTCGACACTTTCTACAACTTGGTCACGGACATCTACGAATGGGGTTGGGGCCAATCTTTCCACTTTTCCCCTTCCATCCCGGGAAAATCCCACTGCGAGGCCACCCGAATCCACGAAGAAATGGCCGTCGATCTCCTTGACGTCCGGCCCGGCAGCAAGATTCTGGACGCGGGCTGCGGGGTGGGTGGCCCCATGCGTGCCATTGCCGTCCATTCTGGTGCCAATGTTGTTGGAATCACCATCAACGAGTACCAGGTTAGTCGTGCTAAGCTGCACAATAAGAAAGCGGGGTTGGATAAAGTATGCGAGGTTATTTGCGGTAACTTTCTGGACATGCCATTCAAAGATAACTCCTTTGACGGGGCTTACTCCATCGAGGCGACCTGTCACGCTCCGAAGCTTGAGGAGGTTTACGCCGAGATTTATAGGGTTTTGAAGCCAGGGGCGATGTATGTCTCCTACGAGTGGGTGACAACGGAGTTGTATGAGCCCGAGGACTGCTCTCATGTGGAGATTATACAGGGAATCGAGAGGGGCGATGCATTGCCCGGCTTGAGGAGCTTCAGTGACATCGCGGAGACTGCCAGGAAGGCAGGATTCGAGGTGGTGAAGGAGAAGGACCTGGCGAAGCCTCCGGCAAAAGCATGGTGGTTGAGGTTGAAGATGGGGAAATTTGCCTACTGGAGGAACCACCTTATGATTACTGTGCTCGCGTGGCTGGGAATTGCACCCAAAGGGGTTGTTGATGTGCACGAAATGTTGGTCAAGACGGCTGGTTATCTCACTCGAGGTGGCGAGACTGGCATTTTCACTCCCATGCACATGATTCTTTGCAAAAAACCAGACTCTGCTTCTTCTTCCTGAATTAAAGCAACCCTCGTTTCAGTTCATTTTGATTCTAGGAAAATTGAATAAGGTATATTATTCTAGGACAATTGTTCGACTATTCCTCTGCTTCTGATGCATGAAATTTCTCCGTTTCAAGCTCAACGATTTTCTTTACGAAGCTCCTCTGGTCTATCGAGGACAGCTTTTTCGATTACCTTTACCCGTCGTATATTTCTGTTTAACATGCATGCTAACTGAATGGGAGCACATTCAAGACTGGGGGAATTTGTAATTCGGGGTATAATTGGATGGGTAACTTTAAATTTTCTGCTTCGTCCGAGCTGGGGCGATGCAAATGATGCTAATTAATGTCAGAGTTTTGAGCGTTTGGATTGCCTTGGAACCAAGTAAATATTACTGAATCATCAGTGACAGGCACACAAGGATCATGATCGGTTTTGGATTTTCAGTGACACTGCTAGAACGTCCACTCATGCGATGAAGTTTTGAACTGAGTATAGATAAAGCGATGTCTCTATATTTTCATCCAAAGGAGAAAAAGAAGAAAGATATATTATTTAAAATATTGTCATATATGTATAAATTTAACAGTAATGCGCACATACCACGTTATGTGTGTGATGTTGGGAAAAGATAACCTTGGACAGGAATAAGTATGGTGGCGTTAATTAATCATTTTATATAATGAAATGGGATTTATATGGGAATGTTGTTTGGATTGGACAATAGTGCTGCGTTAAGCACTGGCTGTTTAACGAGACAGGAAATAAAGTCACATGGCGTCATGTGATTTTGTATCCGCAGACGGTAGATGAGTTGGGCAGTAAAAACAATCAAGGGCGAAGGTAGTGGCCGAGTGGGCACCCCATGCGTGGAACAAGCCAGTGAAGTGTTCCGAAGTCCCACAAATTTACCGACTCAAATTAATCCGAATTAAATCAGGAATTGATCCGAGCAGCTTTTCTGGTTGCTTTCCTCAGTGCTTTTCATCCCTGACAAATATGTTATAAACCAACGTCCCTGACTCTATGACGTGTGTGATTTCACGTGGGTCCTGAAAAGGACGTTTTTTTTTTTTTGGTAAAAAGCAAGCAAGTTAATTAAGGGAAGTCTAGAGTTGGGCTGGGCTGGAGGCCAGGAATTGGGGCAGGAATCACGTGATCTATCCACGTGCCTGGCTGCTAAAGCACCACTAGCTGTTGGGCTCTTTTCCTCGTCCTATGTTGTTGGCCTGCTTTGCTGCCCATGTCCTTGTGCTGGCTGTCTGTCAATTAACGTGACCACTCTCTACTCGGCTTTAACTGGAAACCAACGTACACTAGTCAGGGGTTGGGATCCCACTCCGGCGTAATAAATGCATCAGCATCCCTTGTCAGAGCGGAAATCTTCGTATTTATTGCTCCATTATTTCTGGTCACGATTACAATTGTCATCGCATGCTTGGTCTGCCTTCAGTGCCAGCAGCCATAGGACATGCTCTTGTCATTGGCTATTGTAAAGCCAATTCATAACCAGGTTTGATGATTCAACGATCCACTTGAATTATCTGCCACTGAATGTGATCCAGACATGCGATGATCTTTGAATTTAACTTCTGTACATTGTAATATTTGTATTATTGGAGGAATACGGACCCAACAAAAAAACTTCGACACTGGTATGGACGAAGGCCCTACACGGAACACGAAGCGTGTGATACGTGTTGATTCTTAAAGAAAGCTTCCAATACGGAGTGACCGCCACAATAGCAAGGAACTAGCTAGCCGTGTTTTCCAGCAATTTCTGCTGAGTGCTGGCCACCGCCATCTGTGTCATTCCTTAACGCCATCTTTCCCAATCATGCACTGTCACTTCATCTTTCCTTAGCCACGCCATACTTCAAGGCTGTATTATTAGCTATTAAAATTTTCTTTACATTTTTTTTAATCAAACCCTTCACCTTATACTAATTGAGGGGTTTCCATCATGCCACAAGGGAATTGCGGTAGCTGATAAAATTTTCTTGTGGCCCAATTATTTATTATAAATTGTCTGATAATGAGTATATGATATATTTGCTCTGGGATCTGTGGAGAAGTTATAGGGGCTTATGTATCACCCATATTGACTTGTAAAGCATCCTCGTATAAATCATGACGGGGATGCCGATGGCCAATTATTTCTCAAAAGGAGAAGCAGAATGAAAAATAACAGCTAAAGACGCGCCACGATTGCGTTCTAATCTCTCGTGGTGTTGGCGTTGATCGTCAGTGTAGTTTTGGTTTTCTTCTTTTAGTCCCCCTTCTCTTGTTGCCTTTATTTGCCTGCCCGTTCGCTTGTTTAATTATGTTTGAGCTCGAGATATCTGGTGGTAGTTGCATTTCAATGATCAGATTAGGTCTTCTACATAGGTGCTAATAATAATTGGTGTAACATATAATCTCTGAATCTGCTTCATGCGGAAATGAAACCGCCATGAATTTAATATGGTGAAAGAAAATATCAATTCAGGACCTTATCTGATGTTGACAGTATTAACACCTAAATCAGCAAGAACAACAAATTTCGTCCCGCTGCTTCTCATGTGCCCTCCAATATATTTATACACAGTTAGACGGGCAGTTAACGAGTTAGGAGCACTTGAAAAAAGAGTTTCGATAGAGAATTCTATCAGAAAGCAGAGGTTTACGTTCCCAATACAGCTCAATCATTTGACAAAATTTGCGAGATATTCTAACTAATGAAATATTTAGGTGGTAACCACTATATTCCCTTATAATGCCAGCTGTAATTCGCTATGATAATATACAAAGTTGATAAGGTTTGAATAATTTCTCTGCCTGCCTGGGAACTCAACTAGTTATGCAGATGCATAAATAGATATAGTGGACCTAGCTAAACCCCTAATGGGCCCCCTGCATGCAAACGCGTCATTCTCACAAAAATTCCACCAACCGTCATCTTCCTCTTTATCATGTGCTGGCGTAGTTGTTGGCGAGTGTTTCTCCCCAACAAACTAATAAACTACTCATGAACTTGTAGTTTCTAAAATTATATATCAAGAATACGATTGCTTCGGTTCACATTCACGTAGCCATTGACTGTGATCTTAATAATTATGACACCACGAAAACTCAGTGAGGAGCTACGTACGTACTAGAATGGCCATTATGTTCCAACGATGTCCAGCGCCCTGTTATTCCTACCATTATTTTATTATCAATTCATGAACGGGCATTCAAGAATCACTCTATATATAGGTCAAGCCAACTTGAAGTTTTATTAACATACATACGCACTGCAATATACACAGCCTCTGTGATCGAGCGCAAAGAAAAGGTCGTGATGGAACTGAAGGTTACGGGGAAGGCACCATTGAAGAGAGGGTTTGGGTTGCTGAGAGGCGGCGGGAATCAAAGGAATAGAAGCAACAGGACGTTGGGAGGCATGGCGAAGGCAAGTGGAGGAGTAGTTTCGTGCTGCGAAGAAGATGGGGTGGTGAGGATGAAGATTGTGGTGAAGAAGAGCGAACTGAAGCAATGGATACAAGTGATGGGCGGCGCCGGCAGTTACCGTTCGCCCGTGGGGTCCTTGACGGCGGAGCAACGACTGAACGTTTTGAGGAGAAAGCACATATCAAGAACCAATGCGATGAAGGCGAAGCATCCCAAGTGCTGGGCTCCTGCCCTTCAAAGCATCCCCGAGGAGCTTTGAGCTTCCCCTCTTTTATCCATTTTCTTCTGATTCTAGCGTTTAGTCTGTTTTTTACGTCATTACAAGCTAACATAAGCTCGGATTGATTCTCACAGGCTACTCGTCCATGAATTCAATGTATTTTATTTTATTTTGATTTTTTTTTACTTTCCATTTTTTGTTATCCACATTATGGCAATTTTTTTTTTGGTCAACACAGAATTTCATTTAATTATTCCGCTAGTTTCTGCAAACTAACGGTGTCTGTTTGTGGTTACTAGATCGCGGATTTTTTTTTTTTTGGCCCCTCCAAACAGTAAATGGTCTAAAGAGTTTGAAGACGGGCAACGTTGCATGTGTGTGTGTTTTGGACCAAATAACATGTGTGTTAATGCAGACAAATCTTGATCTCTTTTTTTGGTAGTGGACAGCTGAGGGGAGGCGTGTCAAAAATCAACTGATCTCCTGTGAAACCTGACTCCTTTTTTTTTTTTTTTTTATTTTGGGAAATGTGGTGTGAAACCTGACTTGTTAGACATGTGGGTTCTTGAGTCCCTTGATACAGTTTCGTCATATACAAGCTAGCAAGGAGAGTGAACAATTGCACACCACGAGTTTTTTCTATTAAAATTAAAATGATAGAAGGCTAGCTAAAATAGAAACAAAAGTGTGAGAATGCAACTGGGTGTGATATGCATGTGATTAGCGCTAGTAGGAGATGTAGATGTCCCCTTATACTTCTAACAGTAGACTTGCCATGTTTTGATTCTGAGATTCTCTTTAGGCTAACCTGTTTGTCGTTGGGGATGTGCGAAATTCTCAACATTGCCTTCTTCTGTGTTCCTTTACCCTCTTCCGGAGCTTTGTCCATATTCCAGTAAATGATTAAACAAAAAAAACGGATTATACCAATTGGTTCAACCATTTCAACCAAAATAATCAAACTGGAGTTTGATATGGGATTGAGAGTAAAATCGATTACTGGTTTCAACTAGTTCAACTGATGTAAAACCAACTTCGAATCCATCAAATTTTATTCAAGTTTCTAAATTTTTGAAAATTTATATTAATGTTTCTAAGCTATATTTTATATACACACACTACAAGCATTGAAAACCAAAAGAAGAAATATTATTGAGCGCGCGCGCGCGCTTATATATGTATGTATTGCAAAACTACAAATTTTAAAATATAATGTTTCTCATAACTATTTTTTAATTGTAAAATATTTAATAATTTTCTTAAATTCCATTTTTGAAGGTCCGTGATAACATTTTTGCTAAATTAAAGAGAAATGTAACCCATCACTTTTTTGCCTTCCATTTTTTATGTAATAAATATTATTTAATAAAAAATTAAAAAAATATTTAAATTCATATTATAAATTTAATCTTACAAAATAATATTTTAAAATAATTACCTCTAAATCAAAAAAAATGAGCCCAAATGGTCCCATTGTCAAGGTGAAGATTTTGTTGGTGGGCAATACTTTTATAAGTGCTTTTTGAGTTTAAAGTTATGCCTTAATTGTGATAAATTCTTAAAATCTAACTCACATAAACTTTTGTTTGAAAAAAAAATACCTCTAATGTTACTAATATATAGAATAAAAAATTTATTAAATTAATGAAGGGTTGTTTGGCCATAATTTTGATCATGATCATGATTTTTTTTATTACTTACAAATATTTTTCTATTAAAAATAATTTTATTTAAAATGCAAGTACTAAATGTGTACAATTGTTAAATTCTTTATTGCAGCCATTCACTTACGTGTTGGGTTTGCTTTTCTTTTTTTTTTTTTAATTATTGGGCTTGACCTAGTGCATTTCCTACAAAAAAAAAATAGACATTTAAAGGGATGTGTTGACATTTAAAGCTCGATATTATGAGAATACATGTGAAAAATTAAAATAAAATATTCATGTTATAAATATTAAAATATTATATGGATGTTCATGATATTGAATTTTTTAATATCGTTCAATTACTACAATACCTTTAGTTATATCTGAAATAAGAAAGCTCTAAATTCTTTTATTCTCTTATTTTTTCGGTATGGTTTTTATTCTTCTTTCCTCTCCTCTCAATATCTATTTTCATAACAATTCTGTTGTTATTGGTGATTTCAATCTTCCAATTTTTAAGTAAAAAATAAAAAAGACAAAATATTTATTGTTTTGGACTCGAAAACGTCAAAGGTTTAACAGGGTTTTTCTGTCGGCCGAAAACAAACTAGAGTGTTTTTATGGGCCAAACGTAGGCCCAAATTATCTAGAAATATTTTGCCCAAGAGTTGTACTACTGCAAAAGTTCGAATTTGAGATCTCTGATTTTTTCTTTTTTAAAGCTCTGATTAATTTATTGTGGTTGTCAGGTAGTTAATTGTTCACACCGTAGGGCTTAACGGCCATCTTATCTCGCCGGAAACAGATGACACGACGCTGCTACTAAATACTACGGCCATTCAGACATGGCTGCTGCACTTGCCTACCGTCATAACTTCTTCTTGAGCTCCACAACACCGGAAAAGTACTCGCGAAACCAAGTCTCCGAGCAAAAACCCCACCGGAAGTTTGATCTCGAAAACGAGCCAGCATGCTCTGACCGACAACTCAGCCACTCTCAATCGAAGAAGCTTAAAGCTTCTAGGGGACCACCCAATTCCTCACACACGAGGGCTCTAGTTGAGACTGTTGTTTCTGGGTCGATGGAAGACGCATTCAGCCTGTTCGAGAAAATGAACCGCTTCGACACATTTATTTGGAATGTCATGATCAGAGGCTATACAGATAAGGGGTTGTTTCCAGAGGCACTTGATTTGTATCATAGAATGGAACTTGAAGGGGTTCCTACGGACAATCTCACATATCCGTTTGTAATCAAAGCATGTGGTTGTTTGTTGGCATTGACGCTAGGAGAGAAGATTCACGGTAAGTTGTTTAAGGTGGGATTAAACAGGGATGTTTATATTTGCAATGCTCTTATTGCTATGTATGGGAAGCTTGGACTCGTTGATTTAGCATTAAGGGTTTTCGAAGAAATGCCTGTGAGAGATTTGGTTTCGTGGAATTCTATGATCGGTGCATATTCTCTAGTCAAGGACCATTTGAACACGTTGAAGTGCTTTCGAGAAATGTTGGAAATTGGGATTCGACCGGATAAGTTCACTATAATAAATGCGCTTGATTCCTGCTCTCTGGGAGTTTCTCTGTCGCTGGGGAAGAAAATACATTGTATCGCTGTCAAATTGGGGCTTGAATCCGATGTTATGGTTCAGACGTCCCTTACTGACATGTACAGCAAGTGTAGAAAGCTAGATTATGCTGAGAGAGTTTTTGACAGAATATCTCTGAGAAGTATTGTGGCATGGAATGTAATGATTGGTGGCTATGCACTGAATGGCCGACCGCTTCAGGCTTTGGGTTCCATGAAAAAGATGGTCAAGGCTGATAAGTTGTCAGTTGATAATATCACACTAATAAATTTGCTTCCTTCTTGTGAACAATTGGGAGCTGTTTTGCTGGGTAAGTCTATCCATGGACTTGCTATTAGGAAAGGTTTTCTTCCTCATCCAGTTCTAGAAACCGCTTTGCTTGACATGTATGGAGAATTTGGTCTATTGAAATTGACAGAGCTAATTTTTAATCAAATGGCAGACAAGAACTTGATAACATTGAATGCCATGATTGCTGTGTATGTAAAAAATAAGCACTACGTGAAGGCCTTGAAACTATTTGAAGAACTGATGAGCGCAAATCTCAGACCAGATGCGTTTACCATTGCAAGCATCCTTCCTGCCTACGCTGAATTGGCATCATTAAGGGAGGGCAAGCAAATTCACGGTCATATCATGAAATTACGATACCACTCAAATTCATTTGTTTTGAATTCGATTATTTATATGTATGCAGGTGTCGGAGATATAAGGACAGCAAGGGAAATTTTTGATCAAATGTCACGTAGGGATATCATATCATGGAATACTATGATGATGGCTTATGCCATTCATGGGATGGGGAAAATGTCCATTGAACTTTTCTCAGAGATGAAAAGACTGGGCATCCAGCCTAGCGATAGCACTTTTGTTTCACTGCTATCATCTTGTAGCAATTCTGGCATGGTTGATGATGGGTGGATGTACTATAATTCAATGAGACTAGACTATGGGATAGAGCCCAAGATAGAGCACTATGGATGCATGCTCGATCTTATTGGTAGAACTGGTGATCTGGATCAAGCCGTGAGTTTTATAGAGGCAATGCCAGTATTCCCTACAGCTCGGATATGGGGATCTTTATTGAATGCAAGCAGAAATAGAGGAAACATAGAATTAGCTGAACTTGCTGCTGAGCACATATTTAAAATAGAGCATGATAATACTGGGTGTCGCGTATTACTTTCTAATATGTATGCCGAGGCTGGGAGGTGGGAGAATGTGGAACGCATAAGATCTATTATGACGAAAGAAGGATCAGACAGAACAATGTCTTGCAGCATAATAGAGACCAATCATACTCTGCACAGGTTTACAAATGACGACAGGTCTCAAATTGAGTCTGACACCATCCATAATGTTCGAGATATCATATCAAGGAACGCTGGTGATGAAAATTACATCTCTAGTCTCACCAAGTTCAAACCATTAGACATGGCTAGAAAAAGAGCAAATTTATCGGAGAACCATAGTGTAAGATTGGCAATATGTTATGGATTGATTTCTGCAACAATCGGAAATCCTATTCTGGTGAGGAAAAACACGAGAGTATGTGAAGATTGTCATGTATTTGTAAAGAAGATTTCAAAAAATACCAAAAGGGAAATTATACTAGGGGATTCTAAAGTCTACCATCACTTCAAAGACGGACACTGCTCTTGTGGTGATTACTGGTGATTGCATCTTACATGTGCTGCGTAGCAGTATCGCGACGGTCGTCGAGGTTTCCCATTATATCACTTGAATCGTTTGTATATTCATCCATGTATAGAAATTAACAAAATTAGTAATCAACAGCACCAACCAGTATCAGTCTTTTGTTATTTTTTATACGGGGTGAGGGTTGGAGCAGGTATTTTTAATTGCAGCAGCCACCCTTCAAACTATTGCTGATAAGAATGTCAAAATCTAGCTCAAGCATGTTTAACTCCATATATAGCTATCTGTCAATCTTAATAGAAGAGAATCTTCCCTTAAATCCATCACAACACTCTTAGGTATTAATAGGGAAAATGAACCCAGCTGTTCAGTTCTGCGGGAGCGCCTAAAAGTTTCCTACCTGCTCATGCAAGCTGGCTGACTTTATTGTTCTACATAAACATTTGTCTGTGATTCTCATTGCTGCCCGGTTAAATCTGGGCACGCTAATAGCGTAAATTATTGGAAGAATTTCGATAAAGAAAAAGATTTAATTTCAAGTGAGTTTAAAAAATATTTTAAAATTTCAATTTAATTTAGGAAAGAAAAGTCAAAAAAATTTTGACGTTAAAAAGATCAAAATATCCTTCGTAAATCATGTAGAATTATTAGTTAATTTTCTTACTTCACTTATTAATTAATCAATATTACTTTTAAATTATATTTGTTTGTCAGATAATTAATAACATTAATTGTTAATTTATCAACTTTACTTTTTAATCTACTAACATCAATTGTAAATTACAAGATCTGTCAGTAATTTACCACTGATGTTAGTAAATTATAAGATTGTCAGTAATTTATAACTGATGTAATTAAATTAATAAGTAAAATTAATAATTTAATAATTGATATTTCTATTTATGATTGAAAAACTGACATCAAATTTTATATAATTATGGATATATTAACTCATGTAATTTGTAATTTATATTTATAAATTAACAAGTGAAGTAAGAAAATTAACAACTAATGATTTTATATAACATAAATTGTATTTTTATAAATATGGATATAAGAAAACATCCAAAGGGATCCCTCCTTTTTTTTTTTAAATTGTATTCCATTTTTGTGTATGTTTTAGTTCCCATTCTTTTTTTTTTTTTATGTGTAAAACAAAAAGGCTACCAAAAAGATGCATCTACCACTCAAGTATTTCCTATTTAGAGTACATAAGTAGTCGCTTGCATTATTTTGTCAGCATGAAAATATATGGTAAAACATTCACAATTTGAAGAGTTAAGACCATGAGATAATGATTAGTGATTTAAATCAAACTTAAACTTCTTTTTTTTCTTTTTACAGATAATATTTATGAATGATAGTTGATTGATATTGAGCATAGCGAATCAAGAAAATATATGACAAATAAAAAAGAAATCAAATCTTATTGATAAGGAAAATTAAAAAGGTATGAAAAAGTACAATAAATACACAAGGATAGTCCAATAGAGTTAATGCTAACAATAAGTAAAATTTAAAAATGGGACTACTTTTGAATAAATACCCCTGTGAAAGTAGACAAAAAATACATGAAAAATTAAAAAAATAAATTAAATATCATTGATTAAAAAAATTAAAAAGGCATGGGAAAATATAGCGAATAGAGAAGGATAATTGGATGGAGTTAATGCTAGTGATCAAGAAAAATTTAAAAATGGAACTGATTTTGAATCAATACTCCCGTGAAAGTAGATTGAAAATACATGAAAAATATTAAAATAAATTAAATTTGATTAATGAATTAAGAGAACTTTCATATTAACATTAATTTAAAATCTATTAACCAATGAGAGTTATTTTATTTTTATTTTTTTGAAAATGGGATGTTTTTGAATTAATGCTCTCGTGAGAGTAAACTAAAAATACATAAAAAATAAAAAAATAAATTAAATCTCATTAATAAATTAAGAGAAATTTTCACACTTACATTGACCTAAAATATATTAACCAGTGCGAGTCGATTTTTTTTGACCAATAATATTAAAGCTACAAGATTTATATATATATATATATATATATATTGATGATTATATCATATATTATATGTAACTTTTTTATAATATTTAAATGGCTAAAGTATACACTTACTCCTTTAATTTTATATAATGTTTCATTTTAATCCCTTAACTTTATAAAGTGCATTTTTAGTCTTTTAATCTTAAGATTGTAGGTTTTATCTTAATAAATTTTTACATTGTACTTTCAAATATTAACAAAACATTCTTAGATATTGACATATTAAATTTATTTTTTTTTAAAATAACAATAATTAATATAAATTATAATTATTTAAAAGTAACAATGTGAAGGTTAAAGGAGTAAAAAGATACTTTATAAAATTAAAAGATTATATTAAAATCTTATAAAAAGTTAGAAGACTAAAAGTATATGTTAGCCTATATAAATCAAAGAATAATTATTAGAATTGATCAACAAAATCAATGTGGCATTCATGCAAATACTATTTTGTGATTATCTACGTGAGACCGCCTTAAACTTTATATCCTCGTGCTTTATACTTACCAAGATAATCCCAGCATTTATGTACAAATTACTGCTGCTTCTTCTTCTTCTTTTTTTGACCATTGTTCTTTTTATTTAGTTGAAGCAACAAAGATTAGCAAACTATACATTATCCAATCAGCTTAGAAATTTGACCAGTGATAAATCAGGTCTTGATTATTTATCCCTGTGGACACTATTCCACCATGTGTCAAGGAAGCGTTGCCATCCATCATTTTTCAGTTGGGACTACGAAAATCACACCTTAAAAATAGCATTCAAATACAAACAAGGATGGCATTTTCTACAATCTGAAGCAGTGGACCACCAATCCACCTACATCGGGCAGGTTTAATTTGGATGGGATCTTTGATGCCTTGGACATGGTCAGTGATAGCCCAGTTCCATAATGTACCTCCCTTTACAATAATTCAAAAACTTAGGGCACTGACCCTACTAGAGAGAAGTTCCCCCAACGGAATTTGACCGTCTGTAGAATTTAGGCCCTGTTTGGTAATTTGAAATGATGGAGAAAGAAATGGAATTGGACATGAAATCTGTTAACATGTGTGTTTGGTATGCAATAATTATGATTCTTTGGAATCAGGATTCAAGAAAATTTGATGGAATCCAATTCCATCATATGCATCATGGAATCCAATTCCATGGTTCTTTTTCTCCAATTTGCCCCTTCTCTCTCCTCCAATATAATTTTTTTTAATTTTAAAAAGGACACTTTAGTCTTTTCTTATTTTAAATACTTATATTTTATTAAAATTATTTCAGGATTCTATCATTATACCAAACACACTTTTAAATCCAATTCTATTCCAATTTCAATTTCAATTCCGATTTCGATTCCGATTTCAATTCCATTAAAAACTCTTCCATCATACCAAACCTGGCCTTAAGTTCACAACTGTCCTTAAGGAGCACCAGCGTTTCGTACTCGACCAAACGGTGCTCTGCATCAATGCGACAGCGGTCTCCATGCTACACACGACGATGAAAGCCATTATCTGTGTTGCTTCCCAAAGTTTCATACTGTAAGGATGGTTTCACTCAGCCAACTCCATTTATTACAGCGTCAACACGTCCTTGCTGCTCTTGAATTAAAAAGGTAAACAAAACATCAAGAGAGAAACAAGCAATCTAACCTAAAATCAGAGAACATAACCTATCATCATCCATTGCCTTAAGTTACCACCAGCATTAGTCCCTAAGAAGTGTGCACAAAAATTTGCCACTCTATGCATAAGGTTAATTGTAACATCCTAATACTAAAACAGCACAAATCTAGCTTGTTCAATATTATCTTTATACTGGTGTGACTCACAGTCAATGCAATAGACTGGATTAAGAGCTTCAGCACTTGAACCTTGCAAATAGCTTTTGGCCAACGTAGTTGTAAAACTCCTAGTAATTTCAAACATCATCTGCACTATTATCCTTTCATCAATTTTTCACGCTTCCCAAAATAAGTGGTTCAGGAAGGGGCTTTACACTTTTCATTTACTTACAATAAATACTTTTTTTTGGTTTGAATTAACAGGGGTTTAATTTAAATTTGAATTTATTCAAATTTTTTAATTAAATACATAAAAATTTATAAATTTATATTTAAATCAACTTCAAGTTCTTTTTTATTATAATTCTTTTATAATGTTAAATTTTTTCTGCATCTAATCAATTAAAATTGCAATTATTTCAAACATCTAGTTTTACTATTAGTATAACTCTCATATTTTTTTCCCTTCATCACTCATTCTAGTTTTTCTTTTTGGGCCAAAAATTCCATTTTTTTATTGATTAAAAAAAAGATAAATTTATCATTTTTATTTTTTTCATTTTAAATTTCAACTCAACTATTTTCATTTTAAATTTTTTAAAGTAAACAAATAAAATTTTAATTTTAAAAGTGAGATTTGAAATATAATATTTCAATTTAAAATTTAAATTCAAAAACTACCTTAAATTTTAACAATTGGAGAGCCTGAAAACAGCGTTGGGTACCTCTTATTAGTTTTTATATACTAATGAAAGAAATAAATTTTAAACATACTTACCTTTTTTTGTTTTGAAAATGTTGTTTTATTTAATGCGATGAACAATTAATTTCATATACTTGTCTTTTCATAAGAATTAAAATTTCAAAAAATAATCATAACTGTTGTAGTGAACATTGAAGTGATAATTATTTGAAAATGAAATTAAAATTTCATACTAGGCGGGCGTGATCCTACTTACAGTTACCTTACCGTGAAGGGGAACAAGTCATGATGAATAAAATAAAAAATAAAAAGGAGGATTATCACTGTTTGCAGCGGACTGAACATTTCATCTACTGGTCAAACGAAAACTTCCGATCGAGTAAATTGTGATCTCCGGTTCGTCTCAGTCAACGTTCTCTTCATCTTGGTCGTCGTCGTCCTCATGGCGACCATCCGTTCCTCTCATTTCACAAAAGCCAACAAACAATTCGGCTATCGCCTTGAAGACGACGCCGTTGAGGCAGTCAAAGCATCCGGAGAGTCCTCTGCCTCGACAAGAGCACTTGTCCTTCAACATGAAAAAGAAGCCCTTATTTCCGACCTCAGGCGGGGTGGGCGTGGCCTGGAGATAAGCCA